GTCCATCCCTGGAGCTGAGCTGAGCTGTCACCTGCTTTACCATCTCCTGCCTTCCTTGGTGTGACCTCAACTCTTTATCTTTTCTTTGCAGAGAATGGCCAGTTTAACAGTGTAGAGGTGTGTGCTTTCCCCTTGGATTCTGCTGGGAATTCCGTGGCCTGGAGGAGCCCTGGGACTTGGAGCATCCCCGGAGCACAGTGAGCCACGAGCCCCTTCGGCCAGTACTCGCCTTGAACTGGGTTTTTAGAGCCTTGTCTGTGTCTTTTCTTTCCAAATGCTGGAATGTCTGTCCACGAGATCGGAGAAAATTCATTATGGAGCTTTCTCAAGCTGCTTTTAATGAGCCATTGTATCCCTGGGCTTTTGGGGGGTGTTAAAATAGTGCCCCACGTCTTTCCTCCTGGTTAGATGCCAAAATCAACCATAATGTGATGACAAAATAGTCATGTTCTTACTGGCTGAGGCAGCTTTTCTTTGGAAGAGGCACAACCAGACCAAATCCCCGAGTTTTTATCTATCTGTTATCGTTTCCAAGTTGTTTCTGAGTTTAAACATGATTTACTGTGTTATTCAACCATCCAAAGAGCTCCAGTTTAACTGTGTTTCCAGGACTGCTGATGTGAGTCCCTCAATCCGAGCCTTTCCCTTTGCTTGGGATGTAACACACAGCACATCCCATTGCCAGGTCAGCACATCCCACGGGATGCCTCCTGTGAGGGACAGGTGGGAATAAAACCTCCCGTCCCTCTCTGGAAGCAGCACAGCTACCAGTGCTTTTAAGTCCCACCTCAAGCCCTACTTTAGCTTTCCATCCTGACCTAAACCTCGTTTTCTCTCTCATTTTTCCTGCGTTTTGTGGATGGTTTATCCATTACCCCCAAAACCAGGAGCGTGGCTGTGCTCAGTGAGGGGGAGCAGTGGAGCCCCCCTGGGCAGGGTTTGCAGGAAGCACAAGATTTTTACCAGTTGGCTTTTTAATGCGCCAAATTTTAGGCCCCCAACAAGCTTTTAACTTGCCTATGAATCAGCTGTGAATGTTACCCATGTCTAATGCCTTTCACACTTTAAGCTGTTTCTTTAGTGTTTGGAGCACACATGGTGCAGCTGTGACTTAAATCCCCCCCCAAACCCCAAATTTGCAGTTTTCTCCCTCAAGTCTTGACTTCCATTTTGCCAAACTCCATTTTACCCCACTCCAGCTGTTCTTTTGCAATAAGGGCAAACCCCTCAGGTTGGGTGAAGGAAGGAGGGTTTGGGTGCAGAGCAGGAGGCTGTTCTGGACCTGCTGTTTGCTGTTGACTCCAGGATTTATCCCTTTATTCTGGGATGCAGAAGTTGCTTATTTTAAATGTGTAAATAAATGCTGGACATACCCTTAATAGGGAATCTGTGCCCTGGCTGTGGGGGGAGCTCAGCAGCCCCGAAACCTGAGGCTTACCTGAGCATTTTGAGCTCAAACCTGGTTGTTTTAAGCACTCCCAGAGCTTTAATTTGATAAAACTGAGTTAGAGAGCACCAAGGCACTAATCCTGACCCCCTTAGTGTTCCTGAGGAGCAGAAGCATGTGTTAATCTGAAGCAATTGTGCCACAGAGAGAGGAAATTCGGCACTGAGAGTTGAATTTTAGTGGTTTTGCTCCTCAGGCTTTTCCCCCCCAGGGGGCAGGTTTGCTTCAGCCATCTGGCCTTGGGTTTTAAACTTTTTTTTTTTTTTTTTTTGTGCTTAGAAATAAGCCAGAAAAAAAAAAAAAGAAGAGATAAAGTGTTGAAGGAAGAGATTTAGAGCCTGTCCATGATAGTTGTTGCTGTCACACTCCAAGAAGCTCGAAACGCACAAACCCGCCCGTCGGGTCGGGCTGGCAGCTCTGACCAAAAAAAAAAAAAAAACAACCTCCTGCTCTGTGGGGAAAAAAGAAAAGAAAAAAAAGGAGTAGAAAACGTACTGTAGGATCTTTACGCACAATATGCTGTGACAACCTGCTAAAGAGTTAATTATGTTCGTTGTTGTTGAGTAGTTAATGATTGTACGGAGACAAAAATCTATATTTTTACCTGCCTGGGATTTGTGAGTGTCGCTGTTCTTGTGTTGGTGGTGATGGCTTTTTGTATGTTGTTTTTTTTTAATCACTGCTAAAAAAATCAGGGCTGTAGTTTGGATCAGTGGCTGTGTGTGGGGGTCCCTTATTCCCATCGAGTGGCTCCTTGTTTTGGCCGTGGGATGGAGCTTCATCCTCCTCTGCTGACAGCAGTGTTTGTGCCTTGGTGCTTTAATTAAAGCCTGACTCGAGCCTTTTCCTCCTGCACTGTAGCCCTGGAAAGGTGTGTGTTTTTAAAATATGGCTGTCCAGAGCAGAGCAGCAGCAGATTCTTGGTCAGATCATTGCCCTGAGGGTGAATCGTACCTGCCCCACGCCAGGTCCTGCCGAGCCCTGAGTGCAGGGCTGGGGTGATGCCAGTGAGCCCACGTGTCTCCTGGCAGGTGCCTGTGCCAGGCATTTCCTTAAAATCACATGGCTTCCTTGGAATTGTGTGTGCAAATACCCCAGATAAACAACGATTGCGCAACGGGGTTGGGTTTTATTCGATATTCTTGATTGAACAGGATTTAGCAGCAGCTCGTGCTGAAAGTGGGACCAGAGCTGGTGTCGTGGGCTGGGCAGGTGGAGCTGGTGGATTTGGGAGGTGTGAATGTTGGCCTGGCACCTTGGAGAGCATTTTACCATGAGAGGGGGGGGTTTTCTGCAAGCCTGTGATTTTTCTGTCCACATGTTTCTAGCAGTGAAGGCGGTGGTGGCTCCTGTCACCTTCGGTGAGCGGTGGCAGGGCCACTAGTGGGTCACTGCAGGGAAAAGCGATCACTCTGCCAAAACCTGCTCCATCTCTGCTGCCAGCAGTGGGGAAAACTGTTAAATAGGCTGAAAGGGCTTAAACCCAGCCTTGGGTAGCTTATTTGTGTACACTGGCTGTGACCTTGGAGCTGCCACCTCTGCCAGGCGTCCCCTTCCCGGCAGCGGGCGATGAGGAAGCCTGGCCCCGGTGCCAAGGGGACAAGGAGCAGCTGTGGCATGAGAGGCCTCAGCAGCAGCGTGGCCAGGACCCACCTTCCCTGGGGAGATGTCCCCAGCCCTCACCTCTGTGCCCCTCTGGAAGGTGCTGGGGGAGTGCTGCCGGTGCCACCTCCCCCTGTCCCCGCCGCTCCTCGGGCCCCGAGCGCTGTTTGCAGGCTCTGTTTGCCTCTGTATTTAGTGTTTGCTGATGTGGATGTCACCCATCTGCTTGTAAACTTTCCTGCTCTGCTGCCTTCTAAATGTGTTTTTTATTTTAGGTTTAAAAAGCAGTGTATGTCAGCTTGTTCTGTATGTTGTGTGCTCTGTGCACTTGGGCAGAAAGAGCCATCAGCCTTTATTTACAATAAAGAGACTTAAAAAAACCACAGATCATTTCCTCTGTTCTTTTCCATTGTTTGTTCTATCTAACTGGTTTTCTGAGACAGTGGTGAATTCAGGGAGTCTCTGGAATGTGTTTGGAGAAAGGGGGTCTGCAGGGGCGGGCAGGTGCCCCTGGGTTTTGGGATTTGAGTTGGAAATGGGGAATCTTAACACCTTGGTGCCATTCCCCTTCCCTCATCAGTTTTAAGGATGTTTTTATTGGAGCTATTGGAATCCAGATTTTCAGTTTTTTTCATGGAGCTGTTAGGGTAGGAATGCTTTTTTTTTTTTTTTCTTAAGCACATCTCTTTTTTAGGAGAAAAAAAGACGTCAAGAGGAGCAACTGGTGTGACTCTGATTTCCAGCTGGAAACCAGCTGGTCCCAAAGGGACCAGCCACAGCCTTGGGTGGGGGCAAGGAAAACTCCAAAACTCCTTTCATCCTGTTTATGCCACTGCAAGCTGTGGGTTGAGGAGGTCTCAGGGATGTTGAGCAGCTGCCAGAGCAGGAGGTGGTTTTTGGTGTGGCTGATGCCCAAGACACCCTGTGCAGATGCTGAAAGACTTCCTGGGTGCCCCTGGGGGAGCTGCTGACGTTTGGGCCCACAAATTGGCTTGTTGTGGGCCATTTGGAAAAACAGAAATCTGCAAAGCCTTTGTTTGTGTTTGTGATTAACTGGATTCCTGTAAATATTTCATAGATGTCAGTGCCTGTTGTGAGCAAGTCTCTGCTCATGCAGCCTCCTGTTGTGTTCTGCAGAGAAGGAACTAAACCAGGTGAACTTCAGGTGAACTCGAGCAAGTTAATATACCCACTCAGGGTAGGGATGTGGTAAATTGCTCAGGAAAACCCCCCTCATTTGGTAGAACAAACAAATACCTGCAAGAAGCACAACCTGGGGTAAAAAGTCCATCACCAGGTGCTTGATGGTGACTGCAGCCTGGATGAAGCTGTGGAGCCAAAAGAGCAAATGGTGACAACTTCTACCAAAAGTTGGTACTAGAACAGGACCCACCAGCAAGAGCTGGATTCAGGAACAGCTTGCAGTGAGCTCAGGGGCATCTGAATTTTCATCAAGGCCAAGTTGGACAGGGCTTGGAGCAACCTGGTCTAGTGGAAGGTGTCCCTGCCCATGGCAGGGGGTGGAACAAAACGATGTTTAAGGTTCCTTTCAACCAAACCAGTCACTGATTCTGTGGCCCTGGGTGTTCAGCTCCGAGTGATGCTCCCTGGGGCCTCATGCCCTGCTGAGCTCCAGCTGATGGGGCTTTCATAGGAATAGGTGGAGCTGCTTGAAGAAATCACTTTTTGAATGCTGGCCACGGGCTTCTGAGGTCAGAAGGGATGAACTCATGATTGATGTGTCCCTGAGATATCCTGAGGAGACCCCCACAGCGTGCCTGAGGTCCAGCAGGGGAGCAGCTCAGCAAGGGTCATTTCGACAAAGACTTGGCAACTCCACGCAAAAAAAAACCAAACAATTTCGACATCTGCTCGGGTTGCATTCAGTTTTTCTTGTGTTTTGCTTTGTGGGTTGAATAAACTCCTTCCTTCTTGCCCGGGAGGAGTTAATGATTTATGGGTCAGTTGGCATGACCCTGGTTTCTGCAGAATTCTGCAGGAAGCTTTTCTCCATGGAGCCATAGCTGAGCATGTAGGCGGGTCATGACTCCTCCTTTAGCTGTGCCTGGAGCCAGGGGACTGGATGGGAACAGTCACTGCTTTATCTTGGAAGTGCTGAACACTCCAGGTCTCCATCTCCTGCCTCCAGACCTCCAGGTAAGACAACTCAGAGCCATAGAACTTTGTTGCTCTTGGGAACAGGGTTGGAGCTTTAGTGCAACTCCAGCAGGCACAGAGATGGGTAAAATTAAATCAAATTTATGCCAGAAGTTGTTAACTGGGGTTGAAGGAAAGGCAGAGGAACGAAGCAGCCGAGAGAAGTGTTGGGATTAGGGCAGAAGGCATCAAGGAAGACCCTTGTTCCCAGGAGGAAGGCAGGTACTTAGACCATCTGTAACACTGGGAGAGTTTAAGCTCATAAATAATCCTGGGTAATACAGAGAGGACTCTTACTGATCTCTAGGGCTGGCAGGTACTAACCTGGTGAGCTGCAGGTAAATTCCATTTTGTAAAGCAATTTGGTTTGATTGATTTGTATGTTTTATAGCTTTACTCAGTCAATATTTGCACAAAATTGATGTAACATTTTGCTTAGATATTTCTCTCCCTCTGAGGGTAATTTATTGTTAGGGGACTGTGCTGGTGACTCCAGCAGGATTTCATCTGACTAGGAAATTACTTCCAAGAGATTTAGTCCTAAAAATAGAGTGTTCTACCCGTAAGATACGCCTCAGAGAACCTTTTCCACAAGTCACAGACTAATTCATGGCCCTGCAAGTGTTAATTTGGTTGGTTGGCTGGGAAGAACACTGTGATGGCAACATGGTGGGTTTAAGTCGAGCCTGATAAACTATGAAGTGTTTATTCTGTGGTTTGAGTGAAATCTGTCTTGAGTTGTTTTTTTTTTTTCGCTTCCAGAAAAGGAATTCTGCTCCTGTTCCTTCTGCTCCCCAGCCACGACAGTAGGCACAGCTCGGGGATGGAGAAATAAGAGCTGTTCACATGAGCTGTGCTTACCCTCAGTGTTAAAACCCCTCTACTATTTTTGCAGAGCTCTGGCCCAGGGAAAGAATGTGGTAACATCTGTGGGCTCTCCAGACAGGAATAAACATGTCAGCTCTGGAGCCGGGGAGGCAGCGGGATCGTGCTGCTGTCTTTGGGTCACTCCTCGCTGCTGCTCTCATTGTGACTGTCCACAGTAAGTGAAGGAGTCCATCAGGATATAGGCTAAGATCCCTTGAAGGACAACCTTCTGGCTTTCACAAGGCTTAGATCCTTCTCTTCTCCTCATTGCCTTTGCATTTCGAGAGCGCTGTAAATCTTTGTGGTCGAGAATCCATCTTCCTTTGCCTTTCTTCCTTTCTGTGGAAAGTAGATGGAAAATTATTCCAGCTGAGAAAGTGCAATGATTTATACTAACTGGGGAGGGGGAAAAAAAAAAAAAAAAAAGCTTAATCTGGACTTTGTAACCAGACTTTGAAACTTCTGGGTGAGGTGTGAGGAGCAGTGATGGAGGGGCAGGGTGAGGCTCCTCCTGGTCCCTGCCAGCCACAGCCACCCCCATCACAGGCTGCCCTTCTCCTCTTTGCTTTGAGGAGTCTTTGGGTGCTGAAATGTCCTCACCTGGACCTTCAGAGTGAATTATGCCTGAAATCCCACTGGTTTTCCTCCCAACACTTCTCTGATGGAGTTCCTGTCCGTAGGTGCCTGCGATGCTCCGCCGCGTTTCCAGTCTGCAGAGCTCAAGGAGGAGTATCGGGGCACTTCCTCGTTTCCCCACAAATCCAAGGTGCAATATGTCTGTCGTCCAGGTTATGTGAAAAAAACTTATGTCAATCATGTCCTCACTTGTCTGTGGGACGGGAGGTGGTCCAGTTCAGAGGAAATATGTAAACGTGAGTATATTTTGGGTTGACTTGGTGTTCCTGGTCTAGTGGAAGGTGTCCCTGCCCGTGGGAGGGGATTGGAACAAGATAATCTCGTAAGGTTCCTTCCAACCCAAACCATCCTGTGATTCTATGACTTCTGATGGTTTTTATTGGCTGATGCTGGAGCGGTATCCAAAGTATCCACAGTGAGCCCAAGGGGTGGTGGGAGGTGAGTGACCTGACGTGGAGCGCTGCTTTTATTCCACTAAGCACTGGCAAGGATGGCAGCGGCTGAAATCTGCTCTGATGCTGCCTGTGTTTCACTGCTGACTCAAAAGATGTTCTTCTGCTCAGGCAGAACTCTTGGGTCAAAAAAAAAAAAGTATTTGACCTGCAGTAGGAGAATCCTTTAGTTGTGAGGAGACAACTGAACCCATGTTACTGCAAAAACCCCTCTTAGGCTGCAGAGGCAGCAGGTCACGATGCAAGTCTCACCAGCATCATGAAACATGGAATAATTTAGGGCTGCAGGGGAAATCTGGAGGTCTCTGGTCCATGCCCTTGCTCAGTACTGGAGGAGTCTTTCAGTGAGAGCTGACTGAGTGCTGTTGTCCCCAGCCAAGTCTTGCACCGTGCCCGAGGAGCCGCTCAACGGCAAACTCATCGTAGGAGAAGGGCTCAGTTTTGGTTCTTCAGTGAACTTCACCTGCAACACTGGGTAAGCCAAGACCACCTGGGGCACAGGGTCTCTTCCTCTTCTTCTCCAGCTGTTTTTCCAGAGTTTTTCCCCTCACCAGTGTAGGTAATTGCAGACCCTGACTGAAATATCTTTTAAACTTTCCTTTGAGAGCTGTAGGACAAACTGATTGTCTTAAACTCCTACTTCGAGGCAGTTCTTCCCACACTCAGGTTCATTCTCCTGGCTCTTTCCAAACCATTCCCAATGTTTCAGTATCTTTTTGAAGGAAAGGCATGAAGGCTGAACTCAGAGCTGTAGGGATGGCTACAGCCAGCTGATGAAGTAGATGTTTTTGCTTAGAAACATGTCATTTTTTTTTAGCTTAAAAAATGCTTTTGCCAAAAGCCAGTTTGTCCTTGAAAAAATGACACTGATGGCCACTTTTTGATGTGCTGTAATTATGACAAATAAGCCCAAAGCATCCTGATGGTGATGTCAGTGGTGATAAACCAGAATTAAGTTTGCCAAGCAGTTCCCTCTCCCCTGTTTCACACAGGTACAGACTGATTGGAGATGCTCAGATTTATTGTGTGATTAGAAATGAGCGTGTTACGTGGGACAGAGATATTCCCGTCTGTGAGGGTAAGTAGAGTTCCTTAATTATCTATTATCTATCCTTTAATTATCTGGAGTGTGACTGGGGCTGGAGAAAGAAGCTGTTGCGTTGCTCTGCTGAGGATTTTGGCATTTCAATGCATGGTGGAGCCTGGAAAGACATTTTTAATTTGTGTTTTCCTTTCTGCATCATCCTGCAGAAATATTTATTCACTCTCTGGGGGTGAGGCAGCTGCATATGAGACTGGGATATCACAAAACTCTCAGTGCCTGGTCAGAGCTCTGCTGCTTTTGGGCTGCTGTGCAGCTCCCTCGAGACCTGCCCTTAATTTCTGACCCTTCTGGCACCTCGCGATTCAACCTTTTTCTCCCCAGGCCTTTGGTTTAAAATTAATTAAATGATTTCTCTCTTCTTCTTTCCTCCCAACTACCATTTCCACCCGTTCCACAGCGATACCATGTGAACCCCCTCCGGAAATAGCTGATGGGGAGCACAATGGGGTTGACAAGGAGCTCTTTGTGTTCGGAGATTCCGTCACGTACCAGTGCCGCAGCGTCAGGAGGGCAGAGAGACCTCTATCCCTGGTGGGAGAAGCCTCTATTCAGTGCACAACCACGGACGATGTCAATGGTGTGTGGAGCGGTCCAGCCCCAGAATGCAAAGGTGAGCTGCTGCCACGCACAGGGCCGGGTGTGAGCCTGCTCACGGCAGCACCAACCCCTTCACAGCCCCTGCTCCTGCTCTGCTCAGCTGTTTTCCTCCTTGGAAGCTTCTCTTGCTGGAATCACCTCTTGCAGGTGAGACCCTCTGAGTCTGGTAGCTGTAATAGGAGTTAGGGTCTCCCATCGTGATCATCATGTCAGCGAGGACGTGGGAATGGGATTTGATTCGTGTTCACAGACCAGAGGATGCATCTTACCTGCTGGCCTGTGTAAAATGTAACACCCCCAATACCTGCTGTGACACCTGCTGCCTTCCCTGTGTTCTTTTTATGCTTTGCCTTAATTAAAAAAAATGCTGTAAAGTGGAGTGAGATGTACAAAAATACCCCGTCAGCTGCCTGGTCGCATCCACCTTCAGCCTTTTTGGTGGATGTGCCTTTAGCAACGAGAATAAATGTTTTTAACACCCCCCTCTCCCCTCGTGAGCCTAACTGCTGATTCCCTAAGTGGTGGCATTTTTCCCTGGCGCAGTGGTGACCTGTGAGCCCCCAAGGCTGGCGAATGGGAAGCTGATGAGTCTGTACAGGTCCGAGTACACCTACGGGGACACCGTCCTGTTCGACTGTAACTTCCGCTACACCCTGAAAGGCAGCTACACCTCCACGTGCAAGGACAACAACCTGTGGGACCCCCCACTGCCACTCTGCCAGCTCAGTAAGTGTGATGGTCCCACCGCTGCTCCAGCTGCTCCAGCAGCTTTGCTTCGGGGAGCCGTAAAATCGGCCAGGTTGGAAAACACCTCCAAGGTCATCATCGAGTCCAACCTTCGACCGAATCCCACCATGGCCACTAAAGTTCCCACCTGTCTGAAAAAGCATGAGGTCATGGAAGGGATGGCTCTAAGATTGAAATTTTGGGTTTTTTTTTTGGGGGGCAGATCTCTCTGTAGCACTAAGGTGACTTCAGGAGTTTATGAGTTGGGGCCACAGAGACTAAAGCCTCATCCTGTTCGAGCTGGAGAGTATTGCTCACTAGAATTCAAAGGGACTAAATTAACCCTTCTCTATTTAATGTTTTCAGAGTCTGTTGCCAGAGCCTCGGGTGGTAAAAACTTGATTAGAACTTATATCTCATTGTAACAGTGAAAATGACCATACAGTCCAAAATCATAGAGTGGTTTGGGTGGGAAGGGACCTTTAAACCTCATCTCATTCCACTTCCCTGCTATTCCACTAGACCATGTTGCTCAGAGCCCCGTCCAGCCTGGCCTGGAACACTTCCAGGGACAGGGCAGCCACGGCTTCTCTGGATAACCTATGCCTCACCACCCCCACAAGGAAGAATTTCTTCCATATATCTGATCAAAATTTAGTTTAAGGCCATTACCTCTTGTTCTGTCACTCTATGACCTTGTGAAAAGTCTCTCCAGGGGAAAACCCCATATTTGTATGTCCTCATTTGTCTCCTCCACCGCTCCTGAACTTGGGTGATTTAAGTGCATCTCAGAATGAACAACGTGAGCCCATGATTTTTACCCCAAATTCTCTTGTACCACCACGGGCCTCGTTGCTGTACCACTGGCAACATTCCTAAGCTGGTGTCTCCTCCTTCCCACCCCCCAGCTAGCTGTAATTACCCTCCTGATGTGTATAACGCTGATAAAGCCAAACCTGCTGTCGATCGGTTCCCTGTGGACACCGTGGTCACCTACACGTGCCACCAGGGCCACAGGTTCAGCACGGGAGAAACCACGCGGAGCATCCGGTGCCGGCCGAACTTCATGTGGAGCGAAATTCCTCCACCGTGTGAAAGTAAGTGTTTTGTCCCTTTGGCTCCCCTGTGGGCCGGCAGGATTAGTGCTGAGTGAAGGAACTGCACGTGGTTTGCTGTTGTGTGGAGGGTGAGGTGGGGGAGAGGGGGTTGCTCCAGGGGCCCAGCTTGGTCTTCGCCGTGACTCTTGATTTCCTCTGATTTATTCCCCCGCTGCAGAGTTTTCCTTGCTTTATGCACCAGCTCTGCCTTCCAGTCCCTTGAAACCTCTGGAAAAAGCCATTGTGGTGTCGAGGGTCCCTCGTTCCATCCAGCGGGGAGGCTGCATGGCAAACGTCCCACTTCCCCCCCCCGGATGGCCCAGGGATGGTTTGGGGGGCGGATTTAATGCCGTGATGCGTCTCTGTCCTACAAAACATTCTTCCTTCTGCTGACAACGAGCCTGCTGTCACCCAGTGGGCCTTGCCGTGGTTTCACACTTGCTAACGCGTGGCATTTCCCAGGAGTTCGTTGCCCGGATCCGTACATCCTGTACAGACAGCTCACAGGGGACAAGAGGGGCGAGTACCTGTACGGACACAGACTGGAAGTTACGTGCAGAGAGGGGTTTACCTTCAAAGGTCATGGCAGCAGAATCACACTTCAGTGTACGAGTGATGGCAGATGGGATCCAGCGCCACCAGAGTGCGTTCCAGGTGGGACAGAGTTTGTGAAACGTGTTGATTTGGGGACTGCTTATTTTTTGACTGCGAGATTTGGGTTACTCTGTGCAGTGTAGCTGTCTACTGACGTTCCCAGAAAAATCTATCTGTGGCCTTAGATGGTGATGGTAGAAGCCAAAGAATCTGGTTGTCTTGTTTTAACTTGGAATATACAGGCAGCAAAAGGTCCAGGTGGATGATTACGTTGCCTGGGCATTGCCTTGGAAGAAGTACAGGGGTTTTGGCAGAGCTGAGCTTGTGTCTGGGGAGTTGAGGGGTGAAGGGCTGCGTGTTGGAAGCTTCTAGAGGGTCCCCAGGAAGCCTGGGAGACATTTACCCAGCTGGAAGGGGATGTGGTTTGTGTTTGGGGATGGTTTGCTGACATGAGGCTTGGGAGCAGCAGATGTTCTCACCGCATTTCCCCTCTCAGAAGAAAATGCGACAGCGTAAATACCTTACACTGCTCAAACTCTTAACCCAGCAATGGGGCAGCACAACAACATCCATGAGCCCAAAAGCTCAGGAAAACATTGCCAGGAGGAAAGAGGCTGCTCCACCTCCCAGGGTGGCCAGCACTAGAGCGTGGATGATTCCTTGTCCTGGCCCTTTGGGGTTACGGAGGAGGCACCGAGACCTTCATTTGGACGAGAGTCATCTTTTGTCTGGGTTTCATATTTCTTGGTAACTCTTCTCCACAGAAGTTCTTTCTGGAAAGACATGATGTCCTTTATTTCCTGCTGTTTCTAGATCCTCGTTGCCCAAAGCCAGACATTCTTCACGGAGTAGAGGTTCATAAAAGCAAAAATGACTACACAGTGGGGACCCAAGTGAGGCTGGCTTGTGAGGAGGGCTTTTTCCTCCGGGGCCTGGACTTCGTCGAGTGTCAGGCTGATGCAACCTGGGCTCCTGCCTTGCCCTCTTGTGACAAAGGTACGTATCACACGCAGATAAGAAGAATTTCTGTGCGCTGGTGTTAAGAAACAGCCATCAGTAAGTGATCTCCTGTCAGCTCCTGGGGGACGGGGTGATGATCAGCAGCTCATGGGCTGAGCCAGGTGTCCTCTCCCTGGAGACGGAATCACAGAATAATCAAGGTTGAAAAAGACCTTCGGGATCATCAAGTCCAGCCTTCAACTGAATCCCCCCATGCCCACTAAACCGTGACCCCCCCAGTGCCACATCCACGTGGTTTTTGAACACTTCCAGGGGTGGTGAGCCCACCACTGGAAAAATCCTAATATTTCCTAATACAGACATGACCCAGGTAGGAGCTGAGGGAGAATTGGGATCCTTGAGCTGGTGAAAGAAGCCAGGCAGCGACTTCTTGTGAATTTGTCTCACGACAAACACAAAGCGAACTCTGTAGCGATTTCCCAGAAGCGATTTTTGATTCTCGCCTGAGTATGATAATTGCACGTTTCTTTTCTTATCAATTCCACAGTCTGTACCCCACCTCCAGAAATCTCCAATGGGCAGCACACTGGCCTGGGTAATAAGGAGTTCTTCTATGGCACCAATGTGACCTACACCTGTGCAAGGGGTCTGTCCCTCATCGGGGACAAATCCATCTACTGCACCTCCGACGATGGGGAGAACCTAAAGTGGAGTGGACCTGCCCCAGAGTGCAGGGGTGAGTGAGTGGTTTCTCCTATATGGATCTCCCAAGACCTGGGTAAGCCCCAGCTCCATAGCCTGCCCAGCTCCATGAGCTCCAAACCTCAAGTGCATTAACCAGTGCAGCTCCTGTGCCAACGTCTCGACACCAGGAGCTGTTCACTAACACCTCAGGGTCTCCTTCAGCGGGCAGCTGAGGGTCAGTTATGGCATTTGAGTACAGAACTGCTGCAGAAAGCAGCAGGAGGAGCAGCTCTGCCCTGCCTGGCCTGTTCCCTGCTGTCCCTGGGGAAGGGCAGCAGCCAGACCCCGCTCCCAGCTCCGCTCTCTCCCCGCAGCGGTTCGGTGTCCCAAGCCCGTGGTGGAGAGGGGCAGGATGACTCCCCAGAGGTTCACCTTTCCCTACGGAGTGGCCCTGCAGTTCTCCTGCGATGAAGGCTTTGAACTGAGTGGTGCCACAGAGAGTCAGTGCCAGGCTGATGGCAGCTGGGACCCTCCTGTGCCCACCTGCCAGCCAGGTGAGTTCCAGCCCGAGGGTGCCGCTCTGTTGTGTCACCAGCCATGGGTGGGATCTGCAGGGTGTTTTCTCCCCCCTCTCCTCCCCTGGCATTATTTTTTGACTTGCATTTCCCTTTCAGTTAAGTGTTCCAAACCCCCACGGGAGGACGGCTTAGAGGTGTACTGGAACAAATTATATTATGAGGTGAATGAAACTGTGTCCTTCTCCTGCAACCGTGATGGACTAAGAGATAGAGGGCTGTCTTCAAGTTATGGACTAAGAGATAGAGGGCTGTCTTCAAGTACCTGCTCAGCTAATGGCACCTGGGTACCACCACTCACCTGTGTAAGTGCCACCAACCTGCCCAGGTTTTCCTGTATTTTGCCCCATTTTTGGTCTGGAATAACCTTGGTCCAACTTCAGGAAGCTGGTTGCTTTGCCACCCTCACGCTGTCTTTGGTTTGGTTCTTTTAAAGAAAAGGCGTGAGACCTGTGAGAAGATTCTTCAAAGTAAAGAAGCTTTCCAGTGTGGAATTCCTCTGACAGAACTGAAAACCATGCTGGAAGTCCGGAAGCTCTACCTGGAGATCCAGAAACTTGAAAAGGAGCTAAAAATCACATCGTAAGCTGACTGGTGTCACTGGTATTGTAGCAACTGTCCTCTGTGTGTTCATGAATGATGCTGACTCAGGATTTTTTTATACTTTGTAATTCCTTCTAATACTTAAGTAGCCACAACAGAGTAGATTTGGTCACATGAGGAGTCAAAGTGACTTCTGACTCATTCTGTGAGAGCTCAGTGGGTTAAGTTTGTACATCACTTCAGACCTTTCAAAGCTTTGCATTTAGATCTGTTTGCTGCGCTTCACAGTGCACAGTGAGGGAGCAACTGAGTGGAAAGTAAATTGTTGTGGTACAAACAGGCATGAGAGTCACCAACCCTCACTCACATCACAGCTGCTGCACCAGTATAGCCCAGTGCTGCCCAGTTTATCCACAAGGCATTCATTCACCACTTCTCTGCATAATTAGTTTTCTTGTGACCAAGGAAACTTCAAAGCCTGTCTTGTAGCAAACCAAAAATGCCAGGTTTTCTTCCCAAGCAGGACAGATGGATCCGAGGGCACAGCAGTGCCACATCTCTGTGTGTGCACCAAGAGCAGATGAAAAGTGTAAAGGAAAAAAAAAAGGCTGTTTGTTTGTTTTGTTTATTCTGCAATATCCAGCAGAGGGGAAGTGCTGTGTTGACCGTGTGTCTTGTGATGGGACCAGGACTCCTTCACCATGAGATTACAATAAAACTGCAATTGCAACGACAGCTCTGTCTGGCTTTTTGTCCTCTCCATAGTAAAGCAAAGTATTTAATATATACAATACTATATATAATATATTAAGTGCATATAATAAATATGGCTTGATAAGCATGGAGGGTGCTGCTCTGTGGGTGTGGGGGGTGTTTGCACAGCAGCCTGCCCCAGGGTAAATGTGCTTCAGGGGTGAGGCCAGGATCTGCAGAGCGGTTCTAGCTGTAAAATACCTTTATTCCCTCTTTTCCCCCCACAAGAAGAGGGCAGAGCAGCCTTCCCTCCCATGGCACAACCTTGCTGGAGGGCTCAGGGAGGGCATCCCTGGCCTTGGGCAGGTCAGAAGGGTTGGGGAGGGGGTGGTGTCAGCGTGGCTTTGCCTGGCCTGACCCCAACTTCCCACAGTTGCTTCCCCTTCCCCGTGGGGCTGTCAGCAGGGACAGGATTTCTCCTTCCCACGGTGCTGCTCTGGCAGCTCCTCACACCATGCCAGGGCTCCTCTGCCCCCTGGGGCAGCTCCTGCCACTAATGATGTTTCTGCTGCAGCCGACTGGGAGCCTCGGTGAGTGTGTTCCCCTCCTTCTTTTCTTTGCTTCTGTGGCTCAGCTTTGCTGGTGAGGGCTTTGGGAAGACCTTACAGCACCTTTCAGGGGCTCCAAGAAGGCTGGAGAGGGGCTTTTCACAAGGCACGAAGTGAGAGGACAAGGGGGAATGGCCTTAAGGTGAAGGAGGGAAGGTGTAGATGGGATATGTGGAAGAAATTGTTCCCTGTGAGGGTGGGGAGGCCCTGGCACAGGTTGCCCAGAGAAGCTGTGGCTGCCCCATCCCTGGAAGTCCCCCAAGGCCAGGTTGGACGGGTGTTTGGAGCAGCCTGGGATAGGGGAAGGTGTCCCTGCCCATGGCAGGGGGTGGAATGGGATGGGCTTTAAGGTCCCTTCCAACCCAAACCCTTCTGTAATCCTGTGATTGATTCTATGATGCCAAGGCTGATGCCTCACCCTGAGGCATCCCATAGCCATGCTAAAGGCAGCTGGGGCATTGTCAGACATCCCACAGGCTGACCTCAGAGGAGAAGGGCAGGTCTACAGAGTAATATATGTCTATAGGAAGGGGAATAATTTGCAGCTTCTGCCTGGAAGTTGATGGTTCTTTTAAAAGCAGGTCTTTTGAGAAACCTCCTGAGTATGTACAACCCAACCCCGCACCTCCCTGCTCCAAAGAAACGGCAGAAATAGTGTTTGATTGTGTGGAAAGGAAACCTCCCACATTTTGAGTCCTACTGGTGGCTGCTCAAGATGTTTATTAACCCCTAAACCCTCGGCCTCAACCGCTGCGTTCACTAAACTGCTTTGCCTTCTCTCGCCACACGGAGCTGCAGCGACAGCTGATCCCTCTTAGTGTGTGCTCAAAAGCCCTTTTTTTTTTTTTCTTGGTGATCCACAGAGATCCAGTGTCCCATCCCTCGTATTTCAAATGGTCAGCTGAGATCTGACAGGAACTTCACCTCTGGCAGCTCAGCCACGCTCGAGTGCGACAGCGGCTACAGGGCCCTGGGTTCTACCACGGTGCAGTGCCTGCCCAACGGCAGGTGGTACCCACGGGTGCCAGCCTGCACCCCAGGTACACGCACACACCTCTCTCCTTACCTTCCCCAGGTGTAATTACCCGCCTGTGTTTCGCTAAAAGCACGTGCAGCGCTCGGGGAGGAGGGTTGGAGGGTGGGCAGCAGCGTGAGCCGCGCTGGGTGGTGCCGGGTGCCAGGGCACCCCCTCTTGCTCTGCCATCGGCCTGGGCGGCGTGGCAGGGCTGTCCCTTACTGCAGGGCAGTGTCTTGTACCCAAAAGTCTATGAGAATACAGGTCCTCGTTAAGTTCACATCCTTTGGTGAGTTGTCCCCATTATTTTTCCCCTTGCCCCACTGCAGCAGGGTTGCTGTTGTCCCTCGCTTCTTTCTGGGGTTTCCACCAAGGCAGGGCTCAGCTTCACACCAGTGGGTCCCTGGGGGAGACCTCCCAGCTCTGAGGGTCCCTGTTGTCCCCTGCTCTGTCACCAGGTCAGTGTTCCAGACCTCCTGTTGTCGACTACGCGGACCTAAACTATCAGCACGAGTTTCTAGTTGGGACAACCCTGATCTACTCCTGCAGACACGGGTTCAATTTGATCCCTGGAGTGTCTCCAACAACTACTTGTCTTAGCAACTTCACGTGGTCCGCAGTCCCAAAGCTCTGCCAGAGTAAGTACAACGTTTCCTTTGCTTTGCCAACAAAGCATCGCTTTAATAACATCATTTTCAAAACACCCCCTGGTGCTGCTGCGCCAGCGGGACTTCATTGAGCAACTCTGGCTCTCACTGGTAATAATTTTGCTGTTCAAAGGGTGGCGTGGCTGGAAAGGAATAGCTGCAGCTCCTGCTGGTTGTTTAGCTGCTTAAACAATGATGCAGTGGTGCAGTTAGTGACATGCTATCCCCTCAGCTACAATTTATAGCTGATCACGGGGCTCAGGTCGCTCTGCCTCCCAAGAGAAGTGGTTGTTATCGCATAATTACCATCCCTGGGCATGCCAGCTCTGATGAGAGGCATCTGGCATTTCCCACCACTGTAGGAAACCCCCCTCCCCATGTAAACGTCTCCTTTCTGATGCTGGTGTTCCTCAGAGGTGCAGTGTCCCACCCCGGTTATCCCCCACGGGAGAGAGATCAGCGCCAGGAAAACCCAGTACACCTTTGGGCACCAGGCAGAATTCCACTGTGACCATGGCTACGTGCTGACAGGCAGCCAGAGGACCCAGTGCTCGTCTGATGGGACGTGGAGACCCCCCATCCCATACTGCCGCAGGGGTGAGTGGGAACGGTGTCAGCACAGCGGGGCTGGGAATTGCATCCCACGGGTAGGAACACGAGGAGAAAACCTCCTGGCCTGAGCGCGGCTTCTCAGAGGAGGTGTCAGGAGTAGGGGCCCAAGTCACAGTATCAAAGGACTTTAAAGTTTTCGTGCTCTATCAAAGCTCTAATTAATTCAGTGCAATGATTGATGGGACTTGCAGCCATTTCTCAGAGCGCTGTTCGAGGTGTTCGTGACATTCACCACTCCCTGACCCCCTTTACGAGCAGGATCATTTCTCATGGAGAAGAGGAGGGGATAAGGGAAGGTTGGCTGAAGGGGAGGGGATGGGGACACATGCTGTGGTACTGGGGCCGTGCTGATGGGTTACCTGGGGCAGTCTGGGAACGCTGGTAGAGCCAGAGCCAAACCTGGCAAGAAGCAGGGAGGACTTGGAGGAGAGCAACATTGAGAATGAACATGAAGAACTCACTTCTCCTGTTACTTCCCTGCCTTCTGTCTCCCTGACAGAATGAAGAAAATCTTAATTTCTTCCTTTGCTCTCTCCTAGTCTGTGATCCCCCTCCCAAAATCGCCAATGGGCAGCACTCTGCCTTGGGGACTAAGCAGTTCCCATATGGCTTTGAAGTCAAGTACACCTGTATGGAGGGTCTGTCCCTCATCGGGGACGAATCCATCTACTGCACCTCTGATGATGGGGAGAACCTGACGTGGAGTGGACCTGCCCCAGAGTGCAGGGGTGAGTGAGTGGTTTCTCCTGCATGGGACCAGGCTGAAGGCAGGACCTGGGTGCAACACTCAGCACAACGGGGGTTAAAAGCGAGCCTGGAGATCCTGCTTCCTTCACAGGCTCCACAGCTCCAGGGGGGGGATGATCCATCTGACAATGATGGTTCTCTGACATCAGGCAGGCAGGAGGGGCAGCTCTGCCCTGCCTGGCCTGTTCCCTGCTGTCCCTGGGGAAGGGCAGCAGCCAGACCCCGCTCCCAGCTCCGCTCTCTCCCCGCAGTGGTTCGCTGCCCCAAGCCCGTGGTGGAGAGGGGAAGGACGTTTCCCCAGAGGTTCACCTTTCCCTATGGGGTGGCCCTGCAGTTCTCCTGCGATGAAGGCTTTGAACTGAGTGGTGCCACAGAGAGTCAGTGCCAGGCTGATGGCAGCTGGGACCCTCCTGTGCCCACCTGCCAGCCAGGTGAGTTCCAGCTGGGAGCTGAGCCCATGGCTCCTGTCACAGTGCAGGGAGTTCCTCTGCACTGGCTCAGCCTTCACAAGCTTCAGAGGTGTTTTTTCCTGCCCCCATAACACTGATCCCCTTGCTGAGCTGCCTTCTGCTGGGGGTTTTCCTTTCAGTTCTGTGTCCCCAACCACAAGTGGCCTATGGAAGGCTGAAGGATGATAAAACGTGGTACCAGATCAATGAGACTGTTACTTTGGGATGTGCCCCTGGATACCAGTTGTCAGACAACGGGAACACGCCTTTAGAAGGCTCCTGGACAGCCACGTGCTTGCCTGATGGCAACTGGACACCCTTGCCCAAGTGTGTAAGTACCACAGAACCACAGAATGGTCTGGGTTGGAAGGGACCTTAAAAGATCATCCTATTCCAACCCCCTGCCATGAGCAGGAACACCTTCCACTGGACCAGGTTGCTCAGAGCCCCATGGTCTGGCTGAGTCCCTGGGTGGATCTTCCCTGACTTCTGATAAGAGAAATAACTGCTTAAACTCCTTAAAAGGTTTTTCTCCCTGGTATGGCTGAGGGGTGCAGCCCGTGTTGGGGCTGTGTTGGGACAGGTCAGCCTTGGAGCTGAGGGGTGGGTGGCTCTCCATCTGCTGCAGAGCAACCTTACAAGCTTGTTTTCTGGGTTTTGTTTCACTTTTCAACAGAAGAAAGAAGGTGATGCTGATGTGTGTGAAGAGGTTCGCTACATTAAATCGTTCTTTGAATGCAAGGTGCCTGTAGCAGAAGTGAAAGCTCTGCTGGAAATACAAAAACTGTTTCTGGAGATTAAAAAACTAGAGGTGGAACTAGAAAACTAGAACAAGACTGGAGTCCTGTAAGGAACTGTAACCATCGCGTTTCCTTCGGTGAACACAGAGTTTGTGCAGTCCCAGTATCTCTAAAAAGGCTCTGGATGGTTTTATGGCTTATGTTTGCATACCTAGAGCCAGGAAAATTATCACCAGTAAAAAAAAAAGCGGTCGCTTTTATCTTGCTAGATGCCAGAGCAGGGAGTGGTTTTCAGTCTTTACTTTAAATCTGACAAGCTTGATTTGCTCTTTAATTAATATGCCATTTAGCATTTTATATTAGGAAGCATAGCAAGAAATTAAATGGAGCTTTTTTAAATCACTGTGTGAACTGTGATAAGCTGAGATGAGGGGGAGTGAAGTCCACAGGAGCTGAGATGAGTGTCCAGAGGTTGTCCCTGAAGGTGCTTCTGCTGGAATCTTCTGGCTGTGGTTTGTGCACACACACTGCACCCTCTGCATTAGCTCACTGCTAGAAATAGTGGTGTTCAACTACATGATTTCCTGCTAGTCCAGCTGATTTCTATTTATCTAGTTAATGAGGCAGTTTATAAGAAGGGCATTTGTAAGCACTTCTGTTATCTTATCCCTGGACTTAAAACAGGTTTCTTGCCCTGTGTTGGTGTCATTTCCCACATCCCTATTTCCTGCACGTGAATGCTAAGAATAGATGTGATAAGTTCAAGTGCAGAGAATCAGGCACCAAAGGTTGTTCCTGTTCCTCAATAAACGCTGATCATGTCGTGTCTGTCTGTCTTTCAGTGGTTCCCCCTTCCCTGGGGGACTGCAACAAAGGTGGGGGTGTATCCATGGGGGGCCTTGTGATCTGTCATGCTGGCTGTAAATTGGGCAGATTTCCAGCGTGGCCCAATGGTCCTGGGTCAGTCCTGGTGTGCTTGAGGAGCTACAGCGGGCTCAGCACAGCCCTGAGTCCTGGCAGCTGGATCAGCCCAGGCTCGGTGGGAGAAGGTGGAGCATTTACCTCCTTACAGGTGATTTGCAGCAGTGCCTCACTGCCAGGTGTGTGCTCTTATAGGTTACTAAAATGAGAGCAAAACACCCAGGGGAGAGATGGTGTCTCCCATCTTTGCACACAGAGATGCTCCAGGGATGGATCACCACACCCAGGTGAGGAGATCTGCAGTGAGGGGAGCTCCCAGACCTGCCCCTGTTCCCCCTGACCAGGAGATGAGCAGGGCTGCACCCTCCCTGTGTGACACCTCCACACTGTGGGACTGTGGTGTCTTCCTGTGCAGGGCTTGACACCCATAAATGTGAATAAAAACTGGGTGGTACATCCTGAGTTGTATCTGAGAGTGTGTTTGGGCAGTCCTGAGTGATGTCAGATGGGATCTGTCAGAGGGTTAATCAGGACACACAGATGCAGTTGCTCACACCCGTTCCTCATTACAGATGAGTCAGACAATGGTGGAAAAATAGCAAACAAAAAGGAAAATGTTTTTATTTGCTTCACTAAGCCTGCTCCTGGAAGATTTGTGGTGCATTACCTGCCAGCAAATGAATCAGTAGGTATTTTCCTACCCTTGACATGGCTTTGGGCTGGGAGGTGTCTCTTCTGCTTTGCAAGAACATGTGGTTTGGTGAAACTGTGCTAGTCAGTGCTCACTGCCAGTCTCAGGTAGAGTAAAAAGGTTGAGTTATTCCCCCATCCCTCATGGTGGGGCAGGAAGACCAGGAGCCTCGAGCCTGGGGATGACAGCTGTCCCCCACCCTGGCTGCTCCCCGGGTCCCTGACAGAGGGTTTCACTCCGTGGGTGTTCTGGGAAGGCTTCCACTGCTCCTGAGGCTTGGTGGAGTCTCCTGCAGTGCATCTCCTCCTCCCAGCTTTGGAAGCAGCTCCTGGAGCCAACGGAGCTCGACGGAGGAGCTCAGGAATTGCTGCAATGAGGTCTGGAGAACCAGGGCTGGGAAGGCACCCAGGTACCCTGAGCTGTGGGGCACCTGCCAGGGCACAGGGGCTGCTCCTGGCCTTGCTGGGGCTCCTCAGCCTGCCTGTGGCTCGTGGTGAGTATGGGGCCATGGGATGCATGGGGAGGACCAGAGAAACGTGCCTGGATCCCACCTTGCTGCTCAGGGGCAGGGGTGGGTGATACCACCACCCCCAAGCTGAGGACCCAGCATTTGATGCTCTCACAGCCCTGTCTGGTGCCTTCACCCACAGGGCGACCCCGGGCCATCCCCTGGGATGCTCACTGGGCTGGGAATGGGGTTCTCTCACCCAAGGATGTCTTCTCCTGCCACAGGTGACTGTGGGCCCCCACCTGCCATGACCTACTCGAGGCCATCCAGCGACGAGCACTCCAGCAGCTTCCCCGTGGGATCCAGGGTGACGTACACGTGCGTCGAGGGTGCCCTCAAAATCCCTGGGCTGCCAGACACGGTGGAGTGCCTGCCTGGCAACCTCTGGTCCAAGCTGCCCGAGCCCTGTGGCCGTAAATATCTCCTTCCTCTGTCTCTCACCTGGCTTGAAGTTCCTGCCCCTTCCAGGGGCTGCTCTTGGGCTGCCCCCAGCAAGGGACAAACCTGCTCCCCTTCCCCGCTGCTCCTCAGAGCTGCTGGTGGCTGTAGGAAACGGGTCAGTTGGAGGGGGGCTGGGTGCTGGTGTGTCCCCTGAGCCTGTGCTGCCCCCCAGCACGTTCATGAGGCTCCTGATGTCCTATTAATGCTTCCCCCGAGCATTTAATGCCTCTCCACCCACGCTTGGGTGCATTCAGCAGCCTAGCAGGCCTGGCAAGCAAACAGGACCAACCTGCCACGAGCACAGGGAGCTCTCCAGCAGCGCTGCAGTGAGGGCACCCCTGTGATCCCCAGGTTTATTCTGTGTGCTCCTGGTGGGCAGCTCTCTCAGGCCAGCTCTCCTTGACCAGGGAGCTGCACTGCCCCGACCAGGCTGAGGTTTGCTGCCCTGTCCAGGGAGGATGAGGTGGTGAATTTCTTCCCTGTGGGCACCAACGTGACCTACGTCTGCCGTCCTGGCTACGAGAACACCTCGGAGAGCTCCCCCACCAGCACCTGCCTGGAGAACCTGACGTGGTCAGAAGCTGCTGAGCTGTGCAGGAGTGAGTATCTGAGTCCCTCTGCTCTGCCCTGCTCCCCAAAAAAGCAGCCTGGGAGTTCAGAGCAGCTTGAGTGGCTGCTCCCAACCTGCATCCCAAAATGCAGCCCGGTCATCCTCATCCCAGCAGCTCTGTTAACACAGAATGAGGTGGATAGCCCTTGACATTCCTATGTAAGACTGACCAGCAGAGGCAGCAGAAGTACCAGTAATGTTCTTTTTAAACAGTCCTGTCCCCCCAGGAAGGTCCTGTGGTGCCCCGGCAGTGCTGCCCGGGGGGAGGATGGTGCCCCTCACAGACCTGCAGTTTGGTGCCCGAGTGGACGTGTTCTGTGAGGATGGGTGAGTGATGGGGCAGTGCCCACACCGGTGCTGATGCTGGGATACAGCTCTGGAATGAGGCACAGCTGGAGGGAAGGGACCAGGGTCTGATTTAGGGCTGCTTTTTCCTTCAAGTGCCCAGCCAGAGGAAGTTTAACTTCCCCAGGGCAGGGTGTCCATCCCAACAGGGCCATTTGTACTGCCAGTTTAGTAAATGTAGACCCCAAAACAAGCCCCTCAAAACGTTTCAGCTTAAGATATTTGAGATGTATTGAATAAAAAGGGGTTGTGGTGGAACTTTTAAAATCCAGTTCTGTTCAGCTGGGAGGCTGCAGTGAAGCACACTTTCCATCACTCAGGGAGCTGACTCACGGCTGCTGCCTGCTTTCAATCAGGGCCCATGAGCACTGGACTGACCCGAAAAATCCAGCTCTGGCCACTCCAGCCAGTATTCCTCCCTCCCAGCAGGAACTAGCTGGCATCATCTGGCTTGTGATGCCCACCCTCAAATATAGCAGGGGGGGTTTTCCCTCTCCCTTGGGATGGACTTGGAGAAAATGACAGCATGTCCCACCCTTCTGGGGTTCAGCTAATCTGTGGAAATCCACACCAGGGTGGAGGGATAGTGCTGTTCACCTAAGGAAGATCAGATACCACCCAGCATGTCCACATGATGAGGTTTTCTGAACAGGAGGATGTAATTCAGAGATGGGGGAAGGTGTCAGCACGAGATGTGTGAGCTTCCAGCAAGCCAATGCAAAAGCCACCCTAATTAAATGTAGATTGATCCCTGTTGCCCCTCACTGGTCCCTACTGTAAACCTTTGAATCATGGAACCCCAGACTGGTTTGGGTTGGAAGGGAATTTAAAGCTCATCTTATTCCACCCCCCTTTAACCTCGGGGCTGTCTGGCATTCCCTGTGTGCTCTGCCAGCCACCAGCCCCGACTTTCCCCAGCCCTGCCGTGGAAGATGCACTCAGTGAGTCAGAAAACCACCTAAAAATAGATTAACACACGTTTTGGCAGAGCAAGGCGAGGAGTTCTCCTGTTAACCAGCAAATGTCTGCACCTCTGCTTGCTTTAAAACTGCCTTTTCTACATTCCTGATCATACACAAATGGGGAAGGGGGGGGAGTATTTTCAGTTTTTGAATAGTTATACATTTTTTTTCTGTGTGTGTCCTCACTTAGGTACAAATTAGTCGGAAATAAGTTCATCTGGTGCCAGCTGAAAGGAAAGGACGTTGAATGGAGTAAACTTCCAACTTGTGAATGTAAGATTCATCCTTAACTGTAAGATTAAACCTTACTTTTGACTTCACACCACTAGATCCTGCATCCCAATGTCTAGTCCAAAGGCCTCTTGGTGCAATGTTTTTTACAGCAGTGCTGGTTACCCACCTTCAGTTGTCCAGAATGTTTATTGCCTTCGAGAATCTCAGGTGGACTCAAGGAACATTTTGTATTTTCCTTATTACTGAAGCTTTTAGCCAATATTCTTTGTCCTCTTCCCTGCAGTAATTACCTGCCCTGCACCTCCTCAAATCAGCAATGGGAAGCACGATGGTGAAGGTGTTGAAAATTTTGCTTATAACTCAACAGTAACATACAGCTGTGACCCTGGATTCCAGCTCCTTGGGGGTCTGAGCATCCGCTGTACGAGCACGGACAAAACCCACGGAGTCTGGAGTGGAGCTGTGCCCAAGTGCAAAGGTGGTTTCATCCCACTTTGCTGTTTATTATTATTTAGCACTTATTATGAGATCAGTAGTTAGGATGAATCAGCTCAAAGCGTTGTGATTGTGTGGCACAGGGCATGTAAAATGTCAGTAATAATGCAGTTTTAGAGAGAAAAAATGCAGTGCTGGAGTAGGAACTGTGCAAGAAAGACCTAGAGCTGCCTGCAATGCTCGATCTTTATCCCCTAGAGAAAACCTCAGGTGTCAAACTTGGAGCAAAAGACATGGAAAGGAGTGTCCCTCCCAAGAGTGAGTTGAAATGATTCAACACTGAACCCCAGTCCCACTTCATTTGCTCCTTTATCACATTTCTATGAATAGCCCCTTCAAGGAATTTCACGCCGTGGATTTTGCTCTTTCAGGTCCCCAGGGAAGTGGCATCCCATCCCCTAAGAAGGCTTTATCATGGGAGAAGAAGCTCAGCCTCTACAAGAAGTCACTCCAAAACACCATCTCCTCCTCCCATTCTTTTTCCATCTCCAAGACACCAGGTCAGTCCTGGAAGCTCATCAGGGGAATTCATCAGTGGGACTCCCTGGTTGCTCCCAGCCTGGAGTTTTCTTTTTTTTTCCCCATGTCTCCCTTCAGTGTCCAGGAGCTGTGCTACCTCAGCACTCAGGTTGGTCCTACCTTTGTACAAACCCCCAAAACACTCTTCTCCTGGGGCCAGCAAAGGATCTGTGTGTCCTCCGAAGTACACGGGGATCTCTGGCATTCTCCCCAAATCCAGCTGCTTTCAGAACTTAAAACGGTCTAAAGTTGCATCATTTTGTGGAAGTGAGTGATTTTTTTTTTGGTCATATTCTTTTGTTCTATAAGTTTTCTCTGTATAATCCATACCTTCTGCTGGCTGGGCATCTGGTTCACAGCTCAGGTTTGACTGCGCTGACCTCCCACTCCTATAAAAAGCTTTGCTTCGCGTGAAACATATTTTAATTTATCGATTATTTCCTTGCCCTCATGTCATTCTAGATTTTTTCTGAACTTTTTTTTTTTTCCCCCTTTTGAAAAGCAGATTACTTTGCACCTTAGGAGTGCCAGGGCTCCTCCTGCCCTTGCTCCCAAGTGCTGATGCCAACCTTGTTCCACACAGGGAGGTCGTGGGTGGCCAGGAGAAGCTGGACGTGGCAGAAGTGCTGCTCCACCACATTCCCCATCCGCTGCAAAGGATTATTTTACCCATGAAAAGGGTGGATTTTGGCTCTGTAGGACAAGGTGGGAGCTGTAAGTGTGTCGTTGTAAGCCACGAAGCCAAAACACCCACCGGAGGGTCTCGCTACCCTGGCCTGAGGTTGGGTGAAGAGAGTTTCTCTGGTGTTATGGTCGAGCTGAGCTTGCCCACCCCTGATTCGTGTCTTTTGGGTCAAAACCAGAAAATCTGTTACCCCTCCTGGGGTGGATAAAGGATAAAGCAGGCAAACCCTTCACCTGACGTGCTCCAAAAGTGCCCCGTGCAGTGGCTGCACGTCTTAGTGCTCCCACACTTTGCTTTCAGACAAAGAATGAGCTAGATCAGGTCTGTCCAACATGTGAAATGCAATTTTTTAATGGTGATGTGTTTTGGTGTTCCCAGAAATTGACGGAAAATCACTTCTGCAAGCACTGCTTGATCCCCGTATTTTCCTCTCCCACCTGAGTTTTTCTTTCAGCAATTTTCTTCTAACACCCTGAATCCTGTTGTGATTCCCTGCTTTCAGGCTGCAGTTTCCCAGAACCACCCCCCAAGACCTTCTGCAGAGCTCAGTTATGTCACAACCAGCCTGAGTGTTTCCACAGCCACAGGTTTTTTTGCTCACTAGCAACCGTCCTGCTGCCAGAACAACCACCCCAAACACAGACCCAATCTCCCTGTGGAGCTGAGCTGCTCCCTTAACTTCCCAGGAATTTCTGGCTGTAGCACAGCCTGGAGGTGGATACACCCATGCCAGCTGTACTGAAAGCAAAACTTGCAGAATTATGAGCTCATTTCTTTCAGGAAGTCGTGGTGTTTTAGACATTACATTGAATGTTGATCTTTAGATCTTCAGTAGTTTAAGCCCTTTCTTTAGCTAAAGCTGTTTTGGGGTTTTTTTTTTTTTTTTTTTGGTATCAGACTTAAGTTCTTTGCACTTAATATTTCTACCACAGGAAGATAAAGCCACAAGTGGGCTGGGCATCTCCTAATCTCACAACATAAAGGAGCTACTTCTGCTTTCCAGAGGGAGGAAGGCAGCTCAGTAATGCTGTGAGCACACTGACTATGCACAGACACAGAAATACAACTGCTGAACAACCTGCCCCGTGTTGTCACACTGCAACAGAGAGACTGGAAATGCCACGTTCACATTGCTGGCTGCTCACCCCATCTTTGTCCTGCACAAAACACTTAAAGCCTTTCTGGGATTTTATTTGCATTTAGTAATAAAGGGTAACTGTTTTTAAAGGATGGTCTGTGAATTCAACTTCCCTTGTCATGTTTTAGTCTCTTTTCAGGAAGGAATCAGCTTTTAGGAATACCCTGGCAATGTTCAGATTTGCTGTTCAGTCAGTTCTTTATCAGCACTCTGAACATTTATTGTTTAAGGTAAAGGTGGGGGTTTTTTTAAATAGTAAAGAAAACAAGCAAATCCACACAGAAAAGCCTGGGAATGTGAGTGTTTCTGGTAAGTGCCCTGGAAAAGGATGCTGGAGTGATGCATCCCTGCCTTAATCCTATTTAGCCATCCTGAGATGGATCCCTGCAGCCCCTCTGGATCAGTCCCAAATGGTTTTGGGACCTGGGGGCGATCTCCCAGGCTGCTGCCAGTGGGAGCAAGCAGGGAGCCGAGGGTGAGTTTCCATGGAGAGCCTGGAGCCCCTCCAGCAGCCCCAGCTGCTGGCTGGTTTTACTGGACACCTCCTGCTGCTGCAGCCCCGTACCTAGCACGGGTCAGGCTGCCCTCTGGACGTGCTCCTCTTCTACCACCACCATCTGCTCGGCCCGATTCCTGCAGGGAGGGGGTGTGGGAGCCAGATAAAGCCAGTGGCCCTCGGTGGCTCCAGCAGGGCAGGCACAGAGCTGCTATCACCGGGCTCAGCTGCTGCGCGGGAGGTGCCGGAGCTCGGCCGGTTCCTGGGGCAAAACGGGGCAGCAAACGTGGGTGCAGAGGGACAGGCTGGTCTGAGCCTGATGGTGGGGCAGGTATAAATGTCTCCTGCCAGGCCTCAAGGTAGGAAAACAGCCTGGCTCAAGGGTTCAGCCTGCCAGCAGGGGGATTTCACTGAGCTGACGCTGCAGCACTCGGTCCTCCTGGTGTAAGTGGATCCGAACCGCTCCCTGCGGGGACTCGACACTACCTGGAGTCTTTGCCAAATACCTTTCAACATCTCCATGTCCCATGCTGAGGTCACTGCCCAGAATTCAAACTGTTGGGTTTTTTTGTTTTTTGTTTTGTTTTTCCCTGCTAACAGCTTCCTTTTGCATTGTGCAGCCACCATCCCCACTCAGGCCTCTGCTCACCAGTGACCTGTAAAAATACGTGGCCAAGGCATGTCCATGTAATTCCTCACCCCGTTCCCAAGTACGTATTTCAAAGGGGGACCTTACCCAGGCTGCCTGACTCCCCTCCCTGGGTCTCACTGCAAGTGCTTCTGTTACATCTGCTTGGAGCTTAAATTGTAATGGAAAGGAAAATAAAGCGGAGAGAAAAAGAACTCAAGTAAAACAGGTAAGTTTGAGCTTCTCAGTGGAAACATCCCTGTTTCCTGCACAGAAAAGGCAAACAGGAAGGTGCAGGTCGGCTGCTGCTGGCTGCCCTTTGCTTGGGGTGGGGGCACTGCTCAGCAGAATGGGATGAGGCAGCAAACACAGCCACAGCCTTTCCTCTGGCTTGTCCCTCAAGCCCCATGGGCAGGGACCCCAAACCAGCTCCACTTTCCCACATGGAGCCAAAGCAAACTGTGCCCCTGTGCCTGACCAAGCCTGAGGACACACCTGAACCTCTTTGGGCAGCACAGCATCTCCTTCAGAGGGTTTTTAGTCCAGCTGGGAGAGTTACAGTGGGAACACTGGTATCCCCTCTACCTGTGCTTAGGGGTTAATAGAAGCAGCCCAATTAGCAGCTTCAAGGCAGGGCTGATTTAAAACTCTCTGCTCTCTTCTGGGCACCTCTCGAGCTGGAGGAAAGCCCTTGTCTCTCCTCTGTTCTTACAGAAAAGCCTCCTTCCATGGAGGTTTGTGCTTAGGGAGAGGCAGGTGATATCTGAAGGTGGTTTGGGGGTCTGGCAGGGTCTGGTGCCCCTGAGCTGTGCTGTGCTGAGCCAGGTGCTGTTGGAGAGGGCAGGTGGCACCAAGGAAGATTCATCTCTAGTCCCCACATGCAGCAGAGCCAGTGGAGAGGGACGAATGCCCCCTTCACCCCCCAAACACACACTGTGGGGTCCACAGCAAGACCCCCCCAGGCTGCCCTTTTTGGTTTGGGTCTTTTCCTCTGGGACTTGACAGCTTCGGAGGGAGGGGTGTCTTCAGCGGAAGGTGCAGAGGAGCGATGCGAGGGAGAGGCTGAGGCCGCGGGTGTGCGGGGAGCCCCGCTGCGTTCCTCGGGATGCCACGCGTGCCCCGCGGAGCCGGCACCGGGAAAGGGGGGGACGACACGACCGCGTTTTCCACACCCACTGCCCACCGCAGACACGGGTTTCGTCAGAGGATTTCCCGGAGCTGAGGTGGCCGGGCGGGGTGCGGGGGGGGCTGCGGGAGTGGCCCCGCTCCCCATCGCTCCCCGCCCTGCGGGGGCAGCGCGGGCTGTGCCGGGGAGACCCGCGATGGGCTCCGGCCGGTGCCGCTCGCTCCTGCCCGCCCTGCTGCTGCTGCCGCTGCTGCTGGTGCTGCCCTCGGCGTGGGGTGAGCCCTGACACCTTGTGTGGGTGCTCCGTGGGCGCGTGTGTGTTCCCTGTGTGCGCGCTCCATGTGTTTGAGTGTGTTCCACGCGGGTGTGTGTGCGCTCTGTGTGTGAGTGTGTATGTGCTCCGTGTGCCCGTGTTCTGTGCGCTCCGCGTGGGTGGGTGTGTCCCCCGTGGGTGTGTGACGGCTGTGAGTGCATGGGATCCGTGTGTTCGTGCTCCCGTGGCTGTGCGTGCCCTGTATGTGTGGATGTGCTCCGTGTGTGCCTTTTGGGGGGGGGGTGTGTGCTCAGCGTGCTCTGTGTGTGTGCAGCGTGTCAGGGATGTGCTCTGTCTGTACATGCGCTCTGTGTGTGTGTGTGTGTGTGCTCCATGTCCATATCCATGTCCATGTTTGTGCCCCCTGTGCGTGTTTGTGGGGGGCACAGACAGAAGCCCCACTAAATCCCGGGTTTATTTTGCCACAGGTGACTGTGGGCCCTTGCCAAACATCAGCCACGCAGAGCCCCCAGAGGACGTGAAACACAAGCAGAGCTTCAGCGAGGGCTCCACGGTGAGGTACATCTGTGTTACAGGCTACACCAAACGCCCCCTGCTCTCCGACACCATCCAGTGCCTCGCAAACTCCCAGTGGTCCCACCTCCCGGAGTTCTGTGGCCGTAAGTATTTCCCTTTCCCTGCTTGGAGGTGCTTGTGAAAATGTGTAGCAATCGCTGTTTCAGGGGTTTCCTCATCACAAGTGACGAACAGGGTGAAGTAGCTTAGTCAAGAACCTCTTACTGCCCCTTTTTATTCCTAACCTGCACTTTGGGGTTGGAGCCACATGCTGGTGGCACTTGTATGCTGATACAAGTAGATCAATAGCTCGGGAATGATTCAAAGACAGCAAATTTTAACATGTAAAACTTTTTCCATTAAATAGTCATCTGGGTGGAAGGGATCTTAAAGCTCATCTCAATCCACCTTGTGGAAGGGACACCTTCCACCATGCCAAGTTGCTCCAAGCCCTGCCCAACCTGGCCTTGGACATTCCAGGGATGGGGCACCCACAGCTTCTCTGGGCAACCTGTGCCAGGGCCTCCCCACCCTTAGAGTAAAGAACTTTCTCCTAATATCCAGCCTAACCCTGCCCTCTCTCAGTGTGAAGCCTTGCTCCCCTTGTCCTGTCACTCCATATAAATAGTCTCTCTCCATCCCTTTGTAGGTTCCTTTCTGGTTTATTTACACAAATTACTCATCACCTTCTAAAAACTATTTGTGTTATCCGTATTCTTAGTGAGGTTTATTTGTTATCAGTCACCTGGCTTTATGTTTATACACAGCCGAGAACGCAAAATATTGTTATTTTTGCTCTGTAACTGCCATGCTGGTTGTCTCTGTTGCCAGGTAGCTGTCCTAGCCCTCCATATATGCCATTTGCTAAAATATCACAGGATGATCAAACACAGAATTTTTATCCTGTTAATACCACGGTGAAGTACATTTGTCGCCCAGGCTTCGAGAATACCACAGACCAGCTCCCCACCAGCACCTGCCTGGACAACTTAAAGTGGTCAGAAGTTCCTGAGCTGTGTAGGAGTGAGTGTCTCCACGTAACTTTATTTTCTCCAACGCTGTGTTCCGTGTGCCACATCTGTATTTTAGAATTCCTCTTTTTTAATGACATTTAACATGAAGTACCAACAATTGCCTGGTTTGGCGCTGCCATACTGTCATGAAAACTAATTCTGTGGGGTTTTCCCCCCAACCTCGTGGTGTCCTAAGGATAATTTTGCTCTTTTTCAGGGAAATCTTGTGGTATTCCAGCAAGTCCAGAACATGGCAAAGTTATTACAGACGATCACCTGCTCGGTGCAAAAGCCACTGTGGTTTGTGACCGTGGGTGAGTGTGGAGTAGCTGCCCCCTGCACCCCAGTGGCCTGGCCAGAGACACTGGTGTGTGAACTGGGACAGGGGGCTCTGCCCATGTGGAGCCCTTGGCAAATTTATGGTGACACATTCTTGGTTGGTGACAACCAATTTTGGGATGTGCCTTTTCTCCCTGCAGGTACATATTACAGGGAGGGTCACCTTCCATCTTTTGTGCCATACGGGGAAGTGAAGTTGTCTGGAGTCAACTTCCAGCTTGTCAGGGTAAGTGAAGTTGTCCAGTGCTTGACTGGAATTACCAGATATTCCAACTCAAAAATACTGAATTGTTTGATGATTTTACTAAGTCAAGTCCTGACAAGGGCAGGGATACCTTCCACTATCTCAGGTTGCTCCAAGCCCTGTCCCACCTGGCCTTGGACACTTCCAGGGCTGGGGCAGCCACAGCTTCTCTGGGCAACCTGTGCCAGGGCCTGCCCACCCTCACAGGGAAGAATTTCTTCCTTGTATCTTATCTAAACCTTCCCTCCTTCACCTTGAGGCCATTTCCCTTTCTCCACTCACTGCATGCCTTTGTCCAAAGTCCCTCTCCAGGTGTCTTGAAGCCCCTTTAGGCACTGGAAGGGCCTCTGAGGTCTTCCCAGGGTCTTCTCTTCTCCAGGCTTAACAACCTCCCCTCTCTCAGCCTGGAGAGTTCTCCCATCACGGAGAAGAGCCTCCTCCTGAACTCTTTTCCCTTCCTCCCACAGCTATTTCTTGTCCTCCTCCTCCAGCCATTCCCCACGGGCAGCACGATGGCAACAGCACCGGGAAGTTCCCGTACGGCTCAGTCACGACCTACACGTGTGACCCCGGCCTGGAGCTCGTGGGGAACAAATCCCTCCTCTGTACAACGGAGAACGGGGTCCTTGGCACCTGGAATGGGCCTCCTCCCGAGTGCAGGGGTGAGCACTGCTGGGTGATCCCCCTGCTCTCCAGCGCTGTGCAGAGAACAGCTCCCAACTCCCTTCTCTCACAGAGGGAAGGACCCCGGTGTGGACAGGCATTCCAGAGGGTTTGTTCCCAGGGGAGCAGCGTCTGTGTGCAGCAGGGATGGGATTTGCAAGGTGCCAGGCTCTGCTGAGGGGCACTTGGGAGCACAGCTGGACGTGGCTTTACATTTTTCCCTTCGAGAGGAAGGGGCGGAATTTTAACCGACAGCGTGTGAGGTGGATCAGTCACTGCAAAGCTGGGGGAGTGAACCTCGCAATGGATTTGTGTCCCATGTCCAACAACACCCAGGCAATAAAGCCAAGTGGGACAGCAGACTGTCCCCTCTGTCCACAAGGATTGCATTGTCACCAAGTGTCACCCCGTGTGACTCTTGCACAGCTCTTGCTGTTGTAACCTGCTCATGAGACATTTGCTCTCACTGAACTGTTATGCATATTATGTATAACTGGAGGAGCATATAAAATAACACTGAGTGCTTTTCCTTTTTCTCTCCCCAGTTAGCACTACAGTAGAGACAAACCAAACTCAATCCTCCAAGGAGAATCCTTACTGGCTGGGTAAGAGCTCAGTTACTCCAAAGTCCTGTTATTTGCTGTAACAGCACCACATTTTGGGCTTTTATTTTTTTTTAACATCCATTTCATAATTTTCTTCCCTAGCAAGTATCCTCATCCCTAGTTGCATTGGTAAGTAGCTTAAAACTGAAAATTTATTTTCCTAACCCAAAGCTGTTATTTGCTGTTAAATACCTGCAGGCAGTGCTTGACTGGGTTCACTCCCCCCAGCCCTGAGTGTCTCTGGAAAGGATTCAGGGGTTTCTCTGCTGTTGGGTGATGCAAGCCCTGGGATGGATCAGCTGTCTTAGTATAACACATCAGATAAACCGAGGGTGAAAGGAAAGATGCCAAAGAAACCAACCAAAACCTGCACAGATAGCCCCAGCACAGAGAATTTTCCTGCCCAAACTGCAGTATTTTCCCTTAAATTACAGATTAAATTTGTTTATTTTTGGTTTGGGTTGTTGGTTCTTTTTTTCCCTTCTCTGTTAGTTCCCCCAGTAGCCCTTGGAATTGTAGCTGGGATCATCATGAGACGGAAAGACAGTGGAAAACAGTAAGTGACACAAACGTGCCCTTTGAAAATCTTAACTTCCCCTAGGGCTAAGTGGATATTTCCTTTCAAGCTCTGTACCTTCAGTATACATTTCCATGGTTAGTACTGTCTTTCCATGTTGCTAATTTGCTTTTGATTCTACAGACTTTCTCCCTTCTGTCCCTTCAGCTCTTATAACATGAATTTACAGAAGCACATGTTGAAGGGAAGGGATGCACCGGTGCACCCGAAGAAGCAGCCCATGCCATGGAATTCCTATTTTTGGTAGGTTTGCTTGTTCATCTGCCCAAAAGCCTGTGCCACCCTTCTGGCTACACCCATGGGTCTCGCTGGTGACCTGTAAAAGCACGTCTTGGTGAAGTTCCGGACTCTCAAATGCCAACGCGCCGCTCGCTGAGAGGCACCGGCGGCTCCACCCTGGGAGGGTTTGGTGTTCACTGGCTGCTCTCTGGGCTCAGCCTGAGGGATTCTCCCCACCTCTCTCTCCATCCACAGCCACACAACGAGTTGCCACGTGTGCCCCACCTGCAAGAAGCAGCTGCACGATGCCCTGGCCCCTCTCACCGTGCCCACGCGCCGCGGCTGTGCCGCCTGCGAGGACTGGCTGAGCTCCAGGCCCGGCAAACCACGCACCTACTCGGTCCCCAGCATTGGTGACAGGGAGAGCCAAAGCCCAGCAGGCACCAGGTAAAACCAGGCTCTTGCTTCTGCACCCCTTGCATGGGTCCACAGAGGGCAAAACTTCCTCCAGGGAGGAGAAGGCATCTGCACACGGATGGAGCAGGTTTTGCAGTCGGAATTCATTTGGTTCCTCCGAGTCCGGTTTCGGCAGGAGAAAGTATTTGATATTTAGAAAAAGGTGGCTCTGTCGGGCAGCAGGTGTCCTGGGGGAGCCACACATTCAGGTGACTCAGGTTGTCTTCTCTCTCTTTGTGTGTGTTCAGCTCTCCTGCCAAAGCTGTGGATGTGCAGGGGGGTCACGGTGCAGGAGAAGCTGCTCCAGAGTGGAGTGAGGCAGAGCAGCCTGTGGACCACGAAAGGTCTGTCTTCCACTTAAAAATACACAGATGTCATGGTGGGATTGGATAAAAATCGCTTCAGAGTAGAGCAAATCTGTTTTCATCCTGGAATCCCAGAAGGGTTTGGGTTGGAGGGGGCCTTAAAGATCATCCAGTTCTAACGGGCAGAGACACCTTCTACTAGAGCAAGGTTGTTCCAGGCTGGCCTGGAATGCACATCCATGCAGTCAATGCACATCCTTAATGGTGCTTCCCCACAGCAGCCACCACATCTGCCCCGTGTGTGAGAGCTGGCTCCGTGCCCACGTTGGACAGCTGGACAGCCGTGCTGTGGCACCCGGGGAGCGGCAGGACGAGAGGTGAGTGTGGTGAGGCTGCTGCAGGCAGCTCCTCTCAGCAGTGGGCACTGGGGTGTGTGCCCAGTGCTCTCAAAACTGAGAGTTCAGCTCTCAAATTAAAAATACAACGACAGCACATGAATGCTGGTCCCACTTGCCTCCAGCTCTGTGTCAGCATGGAGGTGTGGTGCCTGCTTGCAAGCAAAGGGATGTGAAACTGGGGTGAGGTTTAATTAGACAATGCTTGAGTGGTTTCCTTGGGTGTCTCCGAATTAGCTTGTGGTCCTTGTGCTCACTTGGCTGGGCCTTGTGTTCTTTGGAGCTCTGGTTTGGGTTAAGCAGCAAAGAGCCCGAGTGCTGTGAGAGACTCTGCAGCTTCTGTTCTGCTGCCCAGTGCTTTTGCCACCTCTAGGCATGGCTAGTTTGCTTGGGGCAAGATAAGGTGTTGGGGCAGAGCAGCCACCAGGTGAGCAAGATGATCCTGTTTGCTCTGTCCATCTATCTTTTGGCACTTGCCCATGTGAATCTGGTGCTCTCTCAGGTTCCCAAACAGAGTCATCACTGACAGAGGCAAAATATTTGGTTAAATAAATGTGGTCTGACATAAGCATCTACTTGCTTTATCTTTAGTGAGTCTGAACTTCTCTTTACTCCACTTGTTTTGGTTTTTTTTTTGCCATTTATTTCCCACTGCTGTGTGAGTGCTTTTAGCCCTTAACACCGGAGGAGCCCTTTCAGTTCTGCATTCATAAATCGCTGCTTCTTTGAGTTTAAAAAGTGAATATCTTTGACACTGTCAGGAAAACCAGCTTTTGTGGGTGCTGGAGGAGAAGTTTGTCACGACCCCTCTGGGACTCACCCCTATCTCTGTCCCCACAGCCCGCAGGGCCCCGTCTGCTCTCCCTGCACGGACCAGCTGCACCTCTCCCTTGTCCACAGCGACACGTGGAGCAGCCTCGTGGTGTGTCCCCTGGCTGGAGAGGGGACCCCAGCCCACCTCGTCCCTCAGCACACCCCCAGCTGCCACGTGTGCCCCGTGTGTGCAGTGCCAACCCACACACACCTGTGCCAGCCCCGGCACCAGCCACCCGTGTGAGCTTCTCGTGACACACAGCTGGGAACAAAACCTGTCTACTGCAGGCTTTTTGTTTCTCCATTTTCACCAGTGGCTTCCTGTTAACGGGAACGTGCGTCTAATAAGAAGGAAAAACACAAACAGCCATTTCCATCAACACGTTAGTCTTGTTCCAAATAGACCCACAAAGTTCTCTGTTCCCAGCAGAGCCCTGTCCTGTTCTGCTGACACAGGGGGCACTGCGAGATCCTGTTTTCAAGCACTTTCATATTGCTAGTTACTTCTATTTATCTCTTACCATAAACCACTGGAGTGACTGGATGGACAAAACATAATCCTGAAGCCTTGTATCTTTGGGGTTGTGTTTGGTTTTGTTATTTTAATCCCAGCACAATTGTTCCTACTCCATTGCCCAGAGTGATTTTTCTAAATGATTTAACACTTGATTTGGGGATCAGCTTGGAATGATCTCCTCACAACCAAATGAAAGGAATTGTGAGTGCTGTGATGTAACTTACAGGCGTGGTTGCCAAAATTTGCCACTGGAGAGGGTTTTATCTACTGTGTTTGTAATCGAATTGTACCTGTTTTTACTTTATAATCTGAGTGCAAACGACCAAGGGCAATTCTGAAGTGTGAATGTTGGACATGTAAATATTGGAAGCTCTCTGTCAATAAAAGGGATGAAAAGACTTGAGTAAGACGTGCCTTGCTGCTTGTTTTAGGCTCAGGAAGTGTCACCTGCTATGTGAGGTGGGGAGCTGGAGGCTGCTGGGGCTGCTCCTTCCCCAAAAAGTCCTGCCTGGGGGTTTTTATTCTTCCAGCCCTAGAGCAGCCAGGGTTGGGTTAGGAGGATTCAGGTCCACAAATGCTGCTGGTCCCACGTGTGTGGGAGGAGGGAATGGCCCTCTCTGCCCTTCCCACACCCAGGTGGGCTGTGCTGTGTCCCTTCAGGTGCCATCACCACCTGGGGACCTGAGGCCACTTCCCCAGGGGAGGATGCTCTGCACCACAGCACAGCTCGGCTACAGCACCTCTGCCTGCACCCACACCCCCTCTTCCACCGGTGCCCAAGGGTCCTGGGGGCCCATCCTCCCCTTCCAAACCAGCAGCAGCAGCAGTGTGGGGCACCTGCAGCCTCCCCTGAGCCGGGGAGCCCACGGGTTCCTGTCTTGTGGCCCTGGGAAGTCCCACAGCTGAGGCTCCTTCCACAGGCAGGGGGTGGGGAGGGGAACTGGGGTGTCCATATCTTCCCACCGCCCCCCCAGGAGCCACAGCCTGTGCCAGGGACCGGAGCATGGTGCTCCCCTTCACCCTCTGCCTCCTGGGCAGCTCTGCTTGGCTCCTGATCACCAGGGCTGGGGCTCAAGGTGAGTGAGACCGGCAGGTCTGGGACCTTCCTCCCCCCACGGGGCCCTCCTCTTCCTCATGGCTGCTCCTCTCCTCGCTGATCCTTTTGCTTTTCCCTCTTGGTCCCAGGACCCTGAACATCACAGAACCTCTAAGCTCCTCTGCTAATAAAAAAAGCCCATCTGGGATAGTGTTGGAGCCACGCTTGAGTGCCTGGGGAACGGGGGACCCTGTTAGGTTGGTCCTGCCAACATCTCCCTGGGTTGGATCAGACCCAGAGGATGGGATTCAGAGCCTGTGGCTCAGAAACCTGTAAAAAGGCCAGGGAGGGTTCTTGACCTCACCAGGTGATTGATATGAAATCTTGATGAGAAAGCCAGTTTTTGGCAGCTGGGGAAGCTGCAGGGTCCCCCAGACTGCAGGGAGGGCACCCACCCCAACTTCAGCCTCTGCCACACCCCACTGCTCAGGAGAAACGAGCTGCATGGACACCTCCCCACGACAACAGCAGCACCTGGGAGCTCTGGAGGTAAACGTTTCCTCTCTCTCCCTTTTCCAGTTGCGAGGTGCCCGCTCCCACAGATCCGGTATGGGACGAGAGTACCCTCCGCTCACTTTTACCCCAGGCACGGGGACACCGTGAGCTTCACCTGCAACCGGGGCTACACCCTGCAGGGCTACCGCACCAGCACCTGCGGAGCCGACTCCAGGTGGAACCCACCCCTGCCAGCGTGCAAAAAGGGTGAGTGTCCCAGCGTGTGCGAGCGGTGAAAGCTCCCTCTTGTGTCCTCTCAAATTCAGTGGGAAGGCAAAGCCGGGATGTGAGAATTTAACCCTGCTGTGCTGCGGGGAGCCTGGAACCTGTGGGATGGCAGCCCCGGGGGGGGATTTCTGTCACTCTGCTCCTGGTCAGATGTGGGGGCATTCTCATCTTCCTCCTGGAACGGGAAGTTCATCGCAGCTTCTCGCTGCTCTTGCTGCTTCCATGCCCGGGTGCATTTCTGCCAAACCCCATGATGTGCCTGTGGGGACTGTCGATACTGCCTGTAATTCCTTCCAGATGCAGGGTGATTGTTATATTGGTGCAGCTGCACCTTTACTAAACTAATGCTTCGGCCCAGCAAATGGAACAAAGACAACAGAATTTAGGACATTACCCTGATGCTACCTGAACAGCCCCAGTGACTCACAAAGGGGCAAACACCTGACCCACAGGGTGATTTATTTCCTTCTGCAGAGGTGACGTGCCCTCGGCCACCGAACATCGCCAACGGGCTGCACACAGGACGGTCCCTGGACAAGGTTTCCCGGGGAGTGGCCGTGCACTACAGCTGCAGGGATGGATACACACTGGTTGGGAACGCGTCCATCACCTGCACGCAGGAAGGGCTGTGGAGCAAACCCCTGCCCCGCTGTGAAGGTGGGTGCGTGATTCTCTCCTGGGTGTGGGGCTGGCAAAAAGGATGTTAGATGTCCTGTGGGATCACAGCAGGCAGGTTTATGGCAGTGACAAGAAGGGGGAAAGCCGTGTGTGCAGGATCTGGCCAATGCACTGAAGTATTGAAGTTCACAGGATGCTGTCTGTGTTCCCACAGCAATTGGCTGCGAGATACCTGAGGTGCAGAATGGGAAGGTCTACGATCTGCAGAGCACCTACAAAGCTGGGGAGACTCTTCACTTCGAGTGTGACACTGGTTATGCTGCAGAGGGCACCTACAAGGCTCGGTGCCAGCCTGGGGGCACCTGGGATCCACCAGTGCTCATCTGCCAGAGGGGTGAGTGTGGGTGCCCACTGCTTCCCCAAGGCAGCCCTGCCTGGCAGGGCTTCCTTGCAGGCAGAGCTGTTCCTGGGATGGGCTTTAACCCAGCAATGCAGCATCACTCTGACTGCCCTCCCCTGGCACCCTGTTCTCTCCCTGAGTTATGACTTTCCATCTCCCTCTTGCAGTCCGACCCTGCCCCATGCCTCCAGAGGTCACCAATGGAAACCACAACGGCCAGAACAAAGCATTTTTTACCATGGGAATGTCTGTAAGATACACCTGCAACCCTGGCTATTACCTGGTTGGAAGTGCTGATGTATTTTGCAGACCATCAGGGAACTGGAGCCAGCCTGGCCCTCGCTGTGAAGGTGTGTCCATGCTGTGTCCCCTCAGGGCACAAACTCCTAGTGTGGCTCTGAGCACAGGGGGACCCTCACCACAACCACTGAGACCTCCAGTGAGGGGTTAAATTCCCTTTAATTGAATATACAGTTTTATAATATGTAAAGAATAAGCTTAGATGCACGAATTTAGAGCCAGGACCCTCCTCCCTGTGCTCCAGTGGCAGCTTGGCTCCAGCGTGCCCATGGAGAGCCAGATGTTGATGGTGCTGGGGACCAGGCAAGGTCAGGGGGTGTAACACAGCTTTTTAGGGGTGACCAGCTGGATTTCTATGAATCAATTCAATACCCTTTGCCCAGAAAAGTCAGAGGAGAGACAGAGCATCCAAAGGCTGCTGTCAGGACAGAGCTGGCAGTACCTGGGGTTTGAGGCCTCTGCCCTCACCCTTCACCTTCCCCCATGTCTGACATGCAGGAGGTTGGAGCTGGGCTGTCTCTCAGGAATTGTCTCTCCCAGACATTCTCATGGGCTTTTCCCCTCCCTCTGCAGAGGTGACGTGTCCTCGGCCACCAAACATCGCCAACGGGCTGCACACAGGACGGTCCCTGGACAAGGTTTCCCGGGGAGTGGCCGTGCACTACAGCTGCAGGGATGGATACACACTGGTTGGGAACGCGTCCATCACCTGCACGCAGGAAGGGCTGTGGAGCAAACCCCTGCCCCGCTGTGAAGGTGGGTGCATGATTCTCTCCTGGGTATGGGGCTGGCAAAAAGGATGGTAGATGTCCTGTGGGATCACAGCAGGCAGGTTTATGGCAGTGACAAGAAGGGGGGAAGCCGTGTGTGCAGGATCTGGCCCATGCATTGAAGTGTTGAAGTTCACAGGATGCTGTCCGTGTTCCCACAGCAATTGGCTGCGAGATACCTGAGGTGCAGAATGGGAAGGTCTGCGATCTGCAGAGCACCTACAAAGCTGGGGAGGCTCTTCACTTCGAGTGTGACACTGGTTATGCTGCAGAGGGCACCTACAAGGCTCGGTGCCAGCCTGGGGGTACCTGGGATCCGCCAGTGCTCATCTGCCAGAGGGGTGAGTGTGGGTGCTCACTGCTTCCCCAGGGCAGCCCTGCCTGGCAGGGCTTCCTTGCAGGCAGGAACAGCATATGCAAACAGAGCTGTTCCTGGGATGGGCTTTAACCCAGCAATGCAGCATCACTCTGACTGCCCTCCCCTGGCACCCTGTTCTCTCCCTGAGTTATGACTTTCCATCTCCCTCTTGCAGTCCGACCCTGCCCCATGCCTCCAGAGGTCACCAATGGAAACCACAACGGCCAGGACAAAGCTTTTTTTACCATGGGAATGTCTGTAAGATACACCTGCAACCCTGGCTATTACCTGGTTGGAAGTGCTGATGTATTTTGCAGACCATCAGGGAACTGGAGCCAGCCTGGCCCTCGCTGTGAAGGTGTGTCCATGCTGTGTCCCCTCAGGGCACAAACTCCTAGTGTGGCTCTGAGCACAGGGGGACCCTCACCACTGCCACTGAGACCTCCAGTGAGGGGTTAAAATCCCTTTAATTAAATATACAGCTTTATAATATGTAAAGAATAAGCTTAGATGCACAAATTTAGAGCCAGGACCCTCCTCCCTGTGCTGCAGTGGCAGCAGATGTCACACTGATTTTATTGTTGCAATATTAACAGCCTGTGGTTCTTTGCTTTGTTTTGCTCCAACTCCTTTTGCACAACCCTCATTTCCAGTGACTGTCTGCATCAATCCAACCATAGCAAATGGGAGGCAAGTTGATGTTCAAGGATTTATCTCTGCACCTGGGCAAACACTGACATTTCAGTGCCACGATGGTTACAGCCTGCAAGGCAGTGCCGAGGTCTCCTGCCAGGAGGATGGCAGCTGGCAGCCTCCTATTCCTGTCTGTGAGAGATCATTCCTTTACCAGAACTCTTTAAGTAGGCACGAATCTTCAGGTAAATAATGACTTAAATGCCTTGGGGTACACTGCTATTTTATGTCCCCTTCACCCTGTTTGAAAAATGTGGTTAAACCCTGTGAGTGGAAGATTGAAGTATATCCCGACAATAAGAACCTGTTCCTCTGCAATCCTTTGAGAAAACATGCTGTGTTTGTTTAATAATGGCCATATCACTGAACAATTATGCAAGGCAAACCAAACCCCTTTCCTCCTGACAGTGCTTTCTGTGCTTGCACCCGCCAAACCTGCCCTGCCTGGCTCTCACATGTGTTTTCTCTCCCAATAGGTGGTTGTGGCCCCCCCACAAGGTTACACTTTGCTGAGCTAAATGAGGAGCATAGAAATACGATTGGTTTTTCTGTTGGGAAGACTGTGCAATACACTTGCCGACCTGGATATGCTAAACAGCCAGGAATGTCACCTACTATTACGTGCCTTGAGAGCGGAGTGTGGTCAGAAGCACTAGAGTTCTGTAAAAGTGAATAGCTCCTTGATTTGGTGTCTGTTGATCAAGAAGGAATAGGTCTTAGGTTCTGTCCATGCTGCAAAAACCTTTCTGTTCTTCTGGTCCTCAAAATGACATGTGACTAGTGAAGCCATGTAACTCTTTTCTATTTGAAACCTGTTTGGGGGGTAACTGGAAATGGGGAGAGATGACTGGAGTAATAGTTGAATCTGTTGTGCCACAGTATGGGGAGACAGAAGGCTAAAATGAGGGTATTTTCCTCCCCCAGGGAAACAATGCAGTCATCCTGGTGAACCTGTGAATGGGAAAATTATTTCCCTAACAGATGTCCTGTTTGGGTCAACAGTGGTCTATGGCTGTGAGGAAGGGTAAGTCCTGGCTTTGGCTACTGCTCAGAGGTGTATCAGGCAAGTCTCTCTTTTTCTTCCTCCTATTCATTCACTCCAAATACATGGATTCTGTACAGAAGCCATCCAGGGTTCTGTAGCTATACAGCTCCTAAGGTGCTCACTATCTTGTCTGTACATACAAATGCTTGAAATGGGTTTGGCCGAGCGAGGAAGGAACTCCTCCTTCGGTGCCACAGCTTTGCTGATCCCCCATCGCGGGTGGGAGGCAGCATCTCCAACTGAACTGACTTGGGATGAACGTTCAACCCTTTCAACACCAGGTACAGGCTAATTGGACAGCCCAGCAGGCGGTGTGAGGTTTCTGGTGGACGTGTTACATGGAGCGGCAACGTTCCCATCTGCCAGCGTAAGTAGCTTTGCAGCTCCAGGGGTTTGCACGGATCTGGGAAACATTTTCCAGCAGAGACTGCCACACCTTTCCAATCAAAGCTTTCACAGGCAATCCCTCCGCCCTGCGGGCATGAAAATTATCAGAAGGTTGTTTTGAAGTTATAAGAAAAGGTTCTGGGAAAGGTACAAGATCCCAAAGCTTAATGGGTTATAGAAAGCAACGTCTCTGCTGGAGCTTTTCCAGCAGTCCTTGAGTACCCTGCTGCTGACTGACATCTCAAGAGCCTGTTACAAGAGAGAAAGGGAAAATATGCTCAGCTTAGGGGCTGTTACTGTCAGACACAGACTGAGGGTCAGTCCTAGGGAGTGTTGTGCCAGCAGTGGAATCCCAAAGTCCCAAACTGTGGGCTTGTTCCTACTCTCCAAGCATAGATAACTGGTTTGTTCCCAAAGAGCTGCACCTCAGCAGTTACACTTGGGTGTTTCTCTGATGGTTAACTAGTGTTGCTGGTTAGGTGACAGTTTCATAAGAAGAAAGAAATGTTTGCTGGCACATTCTGGGGTTTTAAAGCATTTCCCATGTTCTCCAGGTACATATGAAGCTAAGTTGATGTACAGACTGTGTCTGTGCTTGCCTTGGCACTGTCTGCAGAAAATCAGCATTTCGCAAAAGTGATGCAAAATGAAACTCTTTACTTTCTTATTTCTCAAACAGTAAAAAATATAAAGCATGTAGGTGTTTCCTCCACAGAGGTTTTACGGGTCTGCTTTCCACCTGCCATAAAAATTCCTGGCCAGGGAGGTAGGATCCTGTTGTCAACAAGGCCTCACCTGGGAGGTCACTTCACTGCAGTTATCTCCTCTCTAGAACAAGTGTTTATGCCCCACAGACCGAGGGATTTTCAGGACTTTGGTGCTGCTGCTGAACTCAAAAGCCTCGTTCTGCACCTTTGCAGGTATCCCTTGCGAGCCACCCCCGGACATTCCCAATGGGAAGCACACGGGCAGGCTGCTGGATGAGTTCTTCTATGGCATATCTGTAACATACACCTGCAACCCCGGGTTCCCACTCCACGGAGAGCCCTCCATCCACTGCACCACCCAGGATGGGAAAAACGGCGTGTGGAGCGAGCCCATCCCCGCGTGTGGAGGTGGGTGTGGCTGCAGATACTCCCAGCACTACTGGGAAGTTTGGAAAGGCTAGGAAATTCCAGGCAGCTGGACTTCTTGCCCCAGGGGTTTTCAAGGGCTGATGGGCAGCTGAGGGCAGGAGGCTGGAGGGCCACCCCGCTGCCCTCCAACATCCCCAGCTACACCTTCCAGTTTGGTGATGTTTGATACCCCTGGATGCAGGCAGTGCATCATCCACGGGAAAATTACTTTCAGGCTTGTGTCTTAGAAGGGATTGCAATCCTCTGTGGCTTCTCAGCCCCACAGCTCTGCCCAAGTGCCTGCTTTGAGGACCTGCATTTCCTTTTTCCAGAGGCAAATTGTCCCGTCCCGCGGGTCCAGAACGGGAGGATCGTGTCTCCTAGATCTGCCTACTCCCACCAGGACACCGTGACCTTTGAGTGTGAGCCAGGCTTTGTCCTGCGTGGCCACAGAGTGGTCCAGTGCCAACCCACTAACACCTGGAAGCCACCCGTGCCAGTCTGCACTCAGGGCAAGTGTTCAAACAGGGCTCTGAGCGTTAACCTTCCCCTGCTCTCCCAAATCTGCCTTTTCTTGGCTCCTGTAACAGCTGGGTTGGCTTGTCTCTCTCTTGGTAGCTGGCTGCAGTGCACCTGCCAGGCTGGAGTTTGCTGAGCTGAAGGAGCCCCTCAACAACCAGACCATCTTTCCCGTGGGGAGGACAGTGGAATACGTGTGCCGGCCAGGGTATTCCCAGCACCCAGGGATGCCACCATCCATCACATGCCTCAGGAATCAGACGTGGTCTGCGGTGCTGGAGTTCTGTAAAAGTACGTCCCACAAGTGCTGAAGAACCCGAAGTGTATCAGGCTTGGCTGGTTTTCCACTTTTTCCCAGATTTATGGGTTTCTTTACCTGCTCTCTGCGCTGGCATCCCTGGCTGGGTTGCGAGTAGCAGCTGGGGGTTAACTGAAGCTGGCATTCCCTTCCAGGGAAGCAGTGCCCTGACCCAGGGCACCCAGTGAAAGGCAGAGCTGTTGTCCTGACAGACCTCCTCTTTGGCTCCAAAATTAACTACACTTGTGACGAAGGGTGAGTCTTGCACAAGCTGCCGGGTGAGAGAGAAGTGGATTTTCAGCTTTACCCAACTTAGTCCCCAAGTCAGAAATCTCGGCTGCCACTTAACAAAGGTTGCAAAGAAATCTCAAGTCTCTTATTGTTAAATTAATAAATCCTTCCTTGTGGCTCCAGGTACAAGTTGGTTGGAAGCTCTCAGAGGACGTGCGAGGTCTCTGGCACACGTGTCTCGTGGAGTGGAGATGCTCCTGTCTGCCAGCGTAAGTAGGCCAGAGGAAAAGGTCCTCAGAGATGGTTTGCAAGATAAAAGTGGAATGCCTTCCAAGCCAAAGATTTTATTGCAAAAGATTCCAGTCACTGGGATGCGTAAAATTTTTCCTTTTCGTTTTCATTGTTGGGTTCAATGCTTCTGAAAATGTTTCCAAAGGTCTTTTTATTTATCCTGTTCCAAACTGGGAAGAAACAGTAATGTTTTGAACTCCCTGTAACAGGGTAAGTATTTCTCACTGGGTGTGTGCAGGAATGGTGTGGCCAGTCTGTCTCTGAGCGTGTCACCAAGGGTTATGGAAAGGGAGGTAAGAATTGTCCCACCACCTCCAGACGGGCAGCAAGGAACTGGCTCATGGAAAGGTGCAGGTTTTCCTTCCCACAAGGGAAGGAAAGGTTTGTTTCTGGGTAATTTGAGACACTGAATGAGATGGCTGAGATGGCTCCATCCTTGTTGATGCCCTTCCTGGGTGTGTCCTGCAGACTCTGGGTGCTGCTGCAGTGCTGAGAGTCCCCTTGTGCCTGCCCGCAGGGATCGTCTGCGCTCCACCTCCAGCCATCCCCCACGGGACACACAGCGGGCACTCGAGGGACACCTTCTCCTACGGGGACGTGGTCACCTACACCTGTGACTCCGGACACTCTCTGGCAGGAGATGCCTCCATCCTCTGCACCTCCTCAGACGGGGAGCACGGAGTGTGGAGCGGGCCAGTGCCGCGGTGCCAAGGTAGGGCTGGGAGGGCTCCGTGGGGTGTCCCCACTGGAGAGGTTTGGTTGCCACTGGCAGGAGGAAATCCCATGGCTCTGACAGATATCTATCCACAGGAGTTAGTGGAGTTAATTGTCTTCCTCCTTTGCTTTTAGAAGGCTGTATTTTTACTTTATTTTCTTTCTTGCCCTGTGCATATCTCTTACTCCCCTTTCCTTCTCCTTGGCAGAGGTGAAGTGTCCTCCCCCTCCAAGCATTCCCAACGGGAAGCACAGTGGCCAGCCCTCAGACACACACCTCCCTGGCTCAGCTGTGCAGTACAGCTGCTCAGAGGGCTTCTCCCTCATCGGTAACTCCTCCATTCTCTGCACAGCCAGCGGAACATGGAGCCGGCCCCGGCCCCGGTGTGCAGGTGTGTTTGTGTTGGCTCCTTTCATCCTCCCTGCTTCCTTCCTGGCTCTTGTTCTAATCCAGACCAAATCTCCAGTGAGAGGCGGGAGATCAAAGGTCCCACAGGCAGGAGGAGCCCCATCTGCCTCTGAGGGTTTGTGTTCCCACCCTCAGAACGGCTGAATAATGGTATTTTGTGTAAGAACAAGAGCCAATAATGCTGACGTGCCCATGACAGTGATGTACAGCAGCAGGTACTGCCTCTGCTCAGTGCCCCTCCACACCCAGGGTGGGTTTCACATCCCCAGCAGTGCTTTGTGTTCTTTTCTTCCAGCAATTGGCTGCAACGAACCAGAGATTGAGAATGGAAGAACGACTGGGCTGGAGGCCACCTACAGACTGGGGGACATCGCTGTCTTCCATTGTGATTTTGGTTACGCCTTGAAGGGCTCTCAACAGTCTCGCTGCCAGTTTGGGGGCAAGTGGGACCCTCCTCTCCCCACCTGTGAGAAGAGTAAGTGCAAATCAGGTGGAGGGTGGTAGCTGATTTCTTCTGAACCACTGTGTGAGTGCGCCTGGCAGGGTGGAAGAGAAAAATCAGATCTGTCTCCCATCTCCATAATCCCCATTCAAGCACTGGGACAGGGAACTGAGGGACTCAACCATCCCTGGAGGGATTTCAAAGGCATGTAGATGACATGGTTCAGTGCCGGGTTATTGATGGGACTCGATGAATTTAAAGGTCTTTCCCAACCTAAACGATTCTATGATTGTCTAATTCAGACCCTTACAATGTAGGGCTCTCATCTCTTTAAATAACACCACAATGGGACCAGGAGCCAGACTGGTGTCTGATCTCATTCACAGCCACAGAAAGCCCAGAGCAAGCTGTTAGGGCCACAGATGGAAACTAACCACTGTAGTTGCCTAAACAGTCAGAAATTATCATTCTTAATTCAATAAGCTCAAGAAACATGAAGGCTGGAAGGTAAGTGAGGGTAGGATGGAAATATCATTCAGTGACATCCCTGAGTAGCTATTGGGCAAAAGTTGATGGGAAAGAAAGAAGTTCAAAGGCTGCCCCACCCTGCAGTGGAGGTTTGTGGTACCAGCTCTTTACCAGTTAGGATGTTTTCCCTCCTTGTAGTGCCGCGGTGTCCTTCCCCTCCAAATATCAAAAATGGCCATCATGACAGCAAGGATGTGGATGTGTTCATCCCTGGAATGTCAGTGAAGTACTACTGTGACCCAGGATATGTCCTCACCGGGAAAACAACAGTTTCTTGTTTGACATCTGGATCCTGGAGCATCCCTTACCCCCGGTGTGAAGGTGAGCTGTGAATGCTGTAAACAGACTGCTGTGGTTGCGCGGCCTCCCCTGAATTTTGACCTCTTAAAAACAAACGGGGTGGATTGTTTTTTAACAAGCTCTGGCAGCTGCTTCCCCAGCCCGTGCTCTGACACTTTTCCCTTGCAGTGATCACCTGCACCAGCCCAAGCATCCAGGGTGGGGAAGTGGCTGAAGGCCGGAGCTCTGTGTACCATCCCGGGGCCAATGTCACCTTCCAGTGCCACCCGGGCCACGTCCTGCGGGGCAGCCATGTGGCCAAGTGCCAGCCTGACGGCCGCTGGGTGCCCGCTGTGCCCACCTGTGAGCAAGGTGAGCATGGGTGGGCACGTGGGGGCAGTTGGAGGGAAGCCACCCAAACAAAAAAAAGCGTGGCCAGCAGGTTGAGGGAGGGGATTCTGCCCATCTGCTCTGTTCTGGTGAGACCCCCACCTGCTGCCAGCTCTGGAGTCCCCAGCAGCACAGGAAGGACATGGAGCTGTTGGAGTGAGTCCATGGTTGATAAGAGGAATGGAGCATCTCTGCCATTAGGAAAGGCTGAGAGAACTGGGATTGTTCAGCCCGGAAAAGAGAAGGGTTCAGGGTGACCTAATTGCAGCCTTCCAGTACCTGAATGGAGCTGACAAGAAAGGTGGGAAGAGGCTATTTACAAGGGCCTAGAGTGATGGGACAAGGGTGAATGGTTTCACACTGACAGAGAGTAGGTTTAGATTAGATGTTAGGAAAAAATTCTTCCCTGTAAGGGTGGGGAGGCCCTGGCACAGGTTGTCCAGAGAAGCTGGCACTGCCCCATCCCTGGAAGTGTCCCAGGCCAGGTGGGACAGGGCTTGGAGCAACCTGGCATAGCAGAAGGTGTCCCTATACTATATGATCTTTAAGGTCCCTTCCAACCCAAACCATTCTATAACTCTATGACTGTTATCCTGGAGTGGCCCCGAGGTTGTGCTTTCCGCCTCACCCACGCCACTTCTGTGGGTGTGACAGTCTTCTGCTGTGTTACATATGCCCCTCTGCTGGGCAAAATCACTAAAACTCTGCTCTGTGCTCTGTGCTCCTGCCCTGGCAGTGGTGCTCTGCCCTGAGCCTCCTGTCATCGCCCATGCCACGCACGGCGCGGAGCTCGGGACAAACTTCACCAGCGGCGCGTCGGTGAACTACAGCTGCCAGCCCGGCTTCTCCCTCCTCGGAGACCCTTCCATCTCCTGCACCGCCTCGGGGAGCTGGAGCCTTCCATATCCCCGCTGTGCAGGTGGGACCAGCTGCCTCCTCGTACTCTCCTGGCTGCCCTGGATCAGCCAAACCTGCCAACACCCAGAACTGGCACGAGTGTCACGTCCAGTTACACCCGTGGGGCTGAACGTGCTTCCAGCACGTGCAGGAGCTGTGTCCCCTCTGGTGGCATTGGGAATAAGCTGGTGGCATTGCTAAAGCCCGTGGTTTCCCAAAAGGAGGCAGGTTTAGGTGTTCTAAGTACTAAAATTGAAGATTCCTGCACTCTACAGCCCAAAGATGCCACACCATGTGATGGCAGAGATGTGTAGGATGTGCAGAGTGTGAAAGCACCAAACTGGCTAAACTATTTTTTGGGCCATTGTATTTTTTGGGACCATTCTATTTTTTAAAACTATTTTTTGGGCCATCATATTTTTTTGGGACCATTATATTTTTTTAAGCTATTTTTGGGTGCATTGTATTTTTTTGGGAGCATTATATTTTTTTTTAAACTATTATTGAGTGCATTGTATTTTGGGGGACATTGTATTTTTTGGGGGTATTATTTTTTTAAAACTATTTTTTTGGAAGCATTATATTTTTTAAACTCTTTTTGGAGGCATTGTTTTAGTTTGGGGGCTTTTTTTAAGAGCGTGTAAATTAGGGGCATGTGTCCTTACATGTGTCCTTACATGCTGAGCGTTAATTTATGTATTCAAATGAATACACAAAAGGTATATTGATATCTTGGGGTTTAACAGTGCCTATAAATGCACTTGTTTCTCTCTAACTGCATTTCACAACCAAGGATGTGTTTCTCACATGCAGTTTGTTTCTTGGCAGCTGGATGTGGCACACCAACAAAGTTATTGTTTGCTGAGCTAAACAAGGAGTATAAAAATGAGACTGAGTTTCCTGTTGGGAAGACTGTGGAATACACTTGTCGGGCTGGATACGTGAAACAGCCACAAATACCACCAACTATTACATGTCTTGAAAATCAAACATGGTCTGAAGCCCAGGAGTTTTGTAAATGTACGTTTTGCAGAGGCTTCTAGTTTTTTTTTTAAATATTAGGCAACCTGTGCCAGGGCCTCCCCACCCTCACAGGGAAGGAATTGCTTTCTAATATCCCATCTAGTCTTATCCTCTTCCAGTGTGAAGCCATTCCCCCTTGTCCTGTAACTCCAGGTCCTTGTCCAAAGTCTCTCTCCATCTCTCAAGTAGCTCCTTTAGACACTGGAAGGGGCTCTAAGGTCTCCCCAAAGCCTTCTCTTCTCCAGGCTGACCAACCCCAATGTTCTCAGTCTGTCTTCACAGAAGAATCCCTCCAGCCCTCTAAGCATCATGTCCTTGCCCTTTCCTCAGTCTTGTTTTGTCCTCTCTCTGTAGTGCTGCAGTGTCCTTCTCCTCCAACTATTGACAATGGAAACCACAACAGCCAGGACTTGGAAGTTTTCACCGCTGGTATGGTTGTAAACTACAGCTGTGACCCTGGGTACAGCCTCCTGGGAGAGGCATCGATCTACTGCACCCACTCTGGGAACTGGAGCCTCCCTCTCCCTCGCTGTGCAGGTACACTGTGCTTCCAAGCTGGGAGTTATGGATAGTCTGGGAGTTTCTGAAAGCTTGTAGGTTTTGTCCTTACCCATGCCAAAATTTGCAACCCTTCAGTCCTTCCCCTTTGTTTTCCGTTTGTCTCGCAAACTTACCCGTGCACGCTCAACATACATTTTAAAACAACTCTGTGCGGTTGATATGCCTGTTTCTCCCTCTGCTTGCTTTCCTGCTAGGTGGCTGTGGTGAACCTCCAAACTTCACCTTTGCTGAGCTCACCAAGGAACACAGAAATCGGGTGGAATTCGTTGCTGGGGACACCGTGCGCTACAACTGCCAGCCGGGATACGCGAGACGCCCCGGAGTGCCCCCAACTCTGACTTGCCTCAAAAACCGCACGTGGTCTCAAGCGCTAGAGTTTTGTAAAAGTGAATAGCTCCATCAGTTTGGTGTTTTGTTGGAAATTGTCTGATTTGTGGGTTTCTCGTGAAAAAAAAAAAAAAAACAACCAAAAAGATTCATACATGGCTTCACTAGTCACAGAGTTTGGGCCATTGTTGGCCATTTAGAAATCAAAATTATTGGTGTCAGAACGTGGACAGAGCCTTAAGATACCTTCTCATAGCGTGTTACACAACTGCAAGAGAGGAGTTTAAACACAGCCTTGTTCTTTCCCAGGGAAGCAATGCACATATCCAGAACCACCCAAGAATGGCAGAGTTGTTGTTCTGACAGATCTCCTTTTGGGGTCCACCGTGAGCCACATGTGTGAAGAAGGGTAAGTCCCACACTGCCTTTGCTGACTCTGTCTGAGCTTGGTGTTGGGCAACTCGTGATAAAGCATCAGGGCCCAGTCCTCTGGGCAGCTGTTCTCCCACAGCAAGCCAGAATTTGGATTTTGGTTCCAATTTTGCCTGCTTAGGAAAGGGAGAAGTGTCTCGTTTTTCCCTTCTTGTGCTCAGTAGGTTAATTTGCGCACTTGAGTTTCAGTTTGGCTCCTCAGATGGCCCGAGCAGGAGCTGAGAGTGCAAGCAAGGAGGCTCCAGCCCTTTGGAAATCAGCTGGGTCCAAGCCCCGATTTAGCACCTGACCAATTACCTGGAGTCATTTGGGATCAGTGTTGTTCCCCCTGGATCCATGAAAAAGGAACTTGGTGTCCTTCACTCCCGTGTGTCAGAGCAGCAGAAACACCTTGGTGACCAGCCAGAATCAAGGAGGCTGCAGGGGGAAACCTCTGGGGGTAGTGTCAGAGTGGGAGTGCAAAATCCCAGCTTATATTTGTGTCTCTGTAACTCCAGGCACCGGCTGGTTGGACAGTCTCACAGGAGGTGTGTGATTTTTGGACGAGATGTCACGTGGACTGGTCTTCCTCCCGTTTGCCAAAGTAGGTCACCACT